TATATGTATGCATGGCTGGCTATGGGAAGCATTTCAGTTTTCTAGTGTGTTTCCCACCATACTGGTGTTCCAACATGTGAGTCACCCCCCAGCCCTAAAGATTAACACCCAAGAATATAACGTGAATTTGTTAGTAGAATATATACAGCAAATGCTAAATATATCAAATAAAATCTGCATGAATATAAGAAATGTAGTGTAACTAGGGGAATTCTAGTCTGCTCTTCCACACAACAAATTCTTACCCACTGATCATATCATATCATAACAAAGCAGGCTGCTGACTATAGCAGCTTTATCCAAATCCAGTATTCACCAGTATCACCCAAAACAATAAATCCTTCTGTATTGTTTGTGGATTCAACAGCCTACTCCTTCAGAAAATAAGATACCTGTGCTTACAGTAACGATCTCGTGGGCAATAGGTCGGGGTTCTCCCAGCTTTCCTGTGAACCCAAGCCTACCCCAGTATTTCACTGGCCTTATTTCCCCGCTCAGCCCGTCCCTAGCCTCTGCACACTCGCCACATTTGTTACATTGTTAGTGTTAATAGAGCGGCTCTGTTTTATGGCTTACTGTATATTTCCACAGGTGAGGAAAAAGGGAGCTGAGAGACAGGAGAGAGATGATGATGTATGTAGCCCCCCATTCATAGCATCCCTCTGAGAAAAGATGGCAGCAGTAACCTACTCAGTGTGAACAGAGTGGGAGAGCATTTGCACTCACAACTTTTGGACTTCTTAATGCAGCACAAATCTTTCTGCTCTTATAAAATGGCTGTACATTATGATGCTCTTGCTCTCTACCTTATTATGTCTGAGTGTTTTGGAGGAAAGCTTTATTAATTCTGCAGCAACCATAAAATTGTGAAGATAAGTATTTGGAAATCCTCAGTCAAGTTACTTGTTTATATTTATTTTGTCATCTGATAACATAAATGTATGTCAGTGGTGACCTGCACATATGTGTTATATGTAATATAGAAAAGTGATTAGAGACAAATTAGGAGGTGAAAAAAAGATGTTTGTTTTTTTTTAAAAATGGTGCTGATGTGAGACTGTGCTGCTGAGGCCAGCCAGAGATTCTATACTGAGTCATACTTCAACATAATAACTATAACAAGGAGGGTGGGTTGTTATCTTTTATTGACTTACACTGTGGTCACATAATGGTAGAATCATAACATTTTGTGCTGTTCCAAGCATAGCACAATTAGATTCTGAAGTTGTAGAATTTAACATACACTGTTGTGCGTCACAGGATAAACGGGTTTTCACATGTCATGTTGCGGAAGCGCCGTCCCTGTGCGCTGCGCTGAAGTTAGAAAAGTTTAAACTTGGGTGTAGCTCTCTGTGATGACACCTCGACACGTCCAGTTGCAGAGAACCTGACAGACCGCAAAGAAAATGGACGAGAAGCTGATTATGTCAAACCCATACTCTCTTCTTCTTTGCTGCAGCTTGCCTCCTCCTCCTCATCAATACACCTAAAGCCAGAGCTTTTCGCTGACATGTAGATAGATAGATAGATACATCGTACGTTCGAGGCTGCTGCTCCAAAAATTTTATATTGGCTAACCACCTCCTGGAAAGCTTTTTGGTTGCCTAGCAACTGGTGCCCAACATATGCACAATTTGCGCTTGTGCACTCTCCTCCGTCGTGCTGCACCCCTGCAGAAGCGCAGTGCATACCATCCTATTTGAGAGCCCTTTAACACAGTTAATTGCGGTTCATCTTCCTTACAGTATGTGTAATTTTCCACACATTTATAATAATATAATTTTTATACTGATATCAGACAATAGCCAGATAAATATTTTATTGCCCTGTTGTATTTAAAACTCGAGAGTTGGGAGCATGTTGTAGCATAATCTTTTTTCATTTCTTGTTCCATGCTATACTGTATGTTGACACACAGCAGACTCACTACACACGGTGAAAACCTGCATTGTTGTGACATGCTTGTCGGTCGTGTGTGTCTTCAAGTAAAATGTCAAGCGGTAATGATTTTTGTCCTGTGTAGTTCGACCCAGAACAACCACAACAGCTGCTCCAGACACCACCACCACAACAACAAGCACTACAACTAGCACAGCTGTTAGTACCACCACAGCCCTCCCTGCCACCACCCCCACAAGCACCACCACCTCCTCCTCTGCTGCTGACAAACTCAGGCCCACAACCAGACGCCTGACGATGCAGGCCCCTCCTCAGACACCCAGGAGCACCTCTACGGAGCAGCCTCGGATCCCCGCTGCCACAAGTACAGAGGCGACGAGTTTCAGTAGCACGACTCAGACCTCGACATCCACACACACACCTCTGTTAGGCCCAGCAGCCCCCAACAGCATTCAAAGAGAGAGCAACAGCAACCTCTCACACAGAGGTAAGGATTGTGGTGAGCAGGGCTGGTGACTAGGCATGTGAGCTTGTGCGAAGGCAGTGTATGTGTTCTTCTATGTGTGTAATGCTCCATTACCATTACATCTATCATTTGCCATTAAAGCAGCAGGGAGCTGAAAACCACAACTTGGAGAGCACTGTAGAGGAGACATCACTGAAAAAACTCTGAGACTGAAAAGAAGGCAACGTCTCTAATGCCAGCGCACTCGTGGCAGTCCAAGAATAACGAAGAAGCATGGACATTTTCACAGATCAACAGAGAGGCCTCTAGACTAGGAGGAGGGTTAGTTTTGATGGTTTTGAAAAGCTAGTGATGTTGGAGAAATAGGAGGACCTATCTTCTTCTACTGCTTTTATGTAAGCGGATATTATCTCTCAGAATTTCTTGTGACACCACCAGTCTGTTTTTCCATTTCCTTTCTGGTCGTCTACATTTTCTCTTTATTTCTAGTGTTGTTATTCAGCCAAGGTTTGCTCTAGGGTTGTTATTTAAACAGAGGTGTGCTCTTTCTTTACGTTTCTCTCTTGCGCACGCACACACACACACACACACACACACACACTCACTACAGTATCTTTCGGTCTGCTTGCTGTCGGTCCCTCGTGAGCACCATGTAACAGAGCTGTCAGCGCTAACAAACGACACTCCCCTTCGTTCTCGCCCTCCGCCTCTCATCACTCATCCTCACGCTCTGACAGCCTCTCTCGCTCTCTTTGTCTTTCTCTCCCTCTGCCTCTGTCTGTCTCTCTCCTCCTCTCTTTCACGCTCACTCTCTAAAACTGGCAGCGTTTTTCCTTCTCGCACCAGTCAGTCAAGCTTTACTGGCATGTCAGAAAAATACCACTTTACAGTTTGTTGCCCAGACAAATAGTGACAGCAGAGTTTAACAGCAGAAATAGTGCTTTACAAAGCCATGCTAAGACTTATATTATATTTGGAAGTGGAGACAAATCCATAATAGTACCACAAAGCAAAACTGATAAACCACTGTGCTGATTTTTGTAGCAGTGCTTTTGGCTTTCAAGTTGAAATGTTTTATCCTTTGCTACATAGAAAACATTAACATAAGGAAGCTGCAACTGTCAAACTGCCAAGGCAGCTATTTGTCCTCCAGTCATTTGTTCAGTATAACTGCAGAAAGGCAACAAAAGTCCCCTCCTATAAGTGAATTTTACTAGACTAAGGATGAGTTCTTTTATTGAAAGGAAAAAAATATTCATGTTTGCATTTTTTTAAATTAGCAGTAAACAATGTCAACAAGCTGACTGATTCATGTAGTTACACTAGAGTAAGCTTTAATATTTAAATTAATATTTGAATGGGATAGTATACTGCTCAGCAGAGAATAAGATGGAAAATAAGAAGCAGATGGAAGTAAAAAAAAAGTGGTTGGCTAGTGTGAGAGTACTTTACTGTGTTTTGAACTCAGATTTTACAACATTGCATTTATATAAATTTGGTGAGAGACAATAAAGAGGCCATAGAGGAACAAGAATGAACAAAGAGCAAAAGAAACATGACAGTCCAGCACTTTAACGGGGAAAATGGGAAGTGAAAAATGACACGGCTGGGAGGGAAAACAGCATTTACCAGGATAAGAAAAGATGGGATGGAAAAATGGCAGAAGAGAAAGTGATTTTCTGGGGATTAAAGAGAATGGCTGCTCCAGTCTCATCACATCAGGGGCTTGGGTTTTATTTCTGAGAAGCAAGAACATGTTTCCTCTAGTCTCTGAAGTCGTCATCCTCCTCACCACACCTCAAGCGCTCCAGATGAGAGTGAAGCAAACGCAGATGAGAAAATGGGGCATGAACAAGATGAGCCTCCAAACCCACGGGCCACATGTTATAGTTTTCAACCCAGTGCACACTGTCAAGTTTGCAGGCATCAGCTGTTACAAGGGTGGTGCTGTGGCTGGAAGAACCAGGAGTTTCAGAGGAAAAACACTGAAAGATACAGAACGGCCGGTACACAAAGCACATGTGCGTGTATGCTCCTACAAACTAGAACTTTCCACGCTTGATGGCAGAAATTCATCAGTCCTTCAGTATTATTGGAAAAGACTATAAAATTCCATCTTACTGTTTTATATATTATATTTCTGTATTTTATATTTTTTTGTTTTCCTCACTTTCTCTGAGTCTCTGTCTGTCTCTGCCTTCATTTTCCAGGACTTTTTCTTTCATACTTTAATATGATTCTCTTAATCTGCCTTCTAGAGTCTTGGGGCTCACTGGGTGTCACTTAAACTTTAAGAAAAGCCAAATTTGCTTCTGCTGACTCAGGACTAAGACAGCTCACAGCTTAGTCTGAAGTCAACAGCGCCATGATCTGTCTCTTCTGTTCTTCCTCACAGACTTCAATATAGCTGTCTGAGCTCACCTTTATCTAATAGCTAGCCCGCTGCTAATGGAAGTCTTGGGAGCAGGATTAATGTCAAAGCTCCACAGCGACCTGATGGGGCGAGTGTTGAAGGGGTATAGGGATCCAAAACATGTCTAGTATAAATGTGTCCTGGGTGCACTGTGACAAAATATGAGGATGTGCTGTAGAAAAAGAATGACATATAACACAAGGGCATGTGTGGTTAAATTCACTCTAATGGTCACCTGGAATCTCCTGGCATTTTTACACCTCTGGTGAATGATGCATTCCTTCCTAAAATCAATGTTGTTTTTTTAATTGTATAGTATAAAATCATGCTTGTTGAAATTATATTTTCTCCTCTTATATTAAAAAGCATCTCAGTACATCTATGTGCAATGAGATATGCTAGGATTCCATTTACACACTGTGGTCTGCAGTCCAAAGTGAAATCAGATGGATTCTCTGCCTCTTTACAGTATTATGCAGTATTATGCAAATAAGATGTTTCACCATGATGCTGCTCTGCTGCAGCAAACGTCTTACTTTCTTTTGCAAAGCCTGTGGGGAGGGTGTGTTTGAACAAAACTTTTCTTAGTTTTATTTTATTTTTTCTGTTTGTCTCAGCTGCAAGTGATCACTACCTCATAGGTAACAACATCACAGTAGCTGTTCTGGGGATAGTCATTCCCATCGGTGAGTACTCCCGACTTTCTCGCTGTGTTCTCTGCTTTCTGCCTGCTTGCTTCTCCCTCCTTGCTTCTCCATATCTGCTTGTGCTGCATGTTGTGTATGGATGGGGTATTGTGGTGTCTGGCTGCGTGTGTTTGTGTGTGTGTACCTGCATGTGCGTGACTGGATTTAGTGTTTTCACTCCCTCCAGACTGATTAAAATGAGTATTGTTTTAGATTTAATAGTAACAATTTGTGGCTTTAGAACCTGTAAGCCATGTGTCAATCTCAGCGGTAATGTTCCAGCACAAAATAATAGTTTATGAACTGAGGACGAGTAGTGATCTGTGCTATTAGTTGACAGCAGCCTCCTGGCTTTACCGGGAGGCCAGGCCTTTGTAATGCGCAGTTATGTCATTATTAGTGATACTGGAGCATCTGGAAAGTTCATTTCATATTTTGTCATCACATTTGACCAGCTGCTACAGCATTAAACTCATGATCCCACTCTGATCACACAGTATGTTCACACTGCGGTCAATCAAGTGCTCTGATCTATTTTTGTGACCTAGTGGACTGAGAGTAGGTTTTATAGTTGCTGGCATTACTCTTTAAATGGAATAGGGGGTTGAAGAGACAAAATTATCTGTTTGATTTGGAGCAGTGCAAACATCTGACCTGGGAAATAACATTGCCAGTTTAAGGTGGGCGAAAATTCTATTAAGCCTCTATATTCTACCATACTAATAAAGAGTAGGCGCAGAAAAATAATGCGAGTTCTGACAATAAAACCAGCTTAGTAAAGTTAATCTATTCTGTTGACTCTGAATAGAAATCAAATTATTTGAAAAATAGTTAATACTTTCATGCCCAGTCTAACAGAGAAATTGGCTGAATGTGCAAATGACCTTTTAGTAGCAGCAGAGTATGTCACTGAGTGAGATCTCCTTCATCCCTAATGCTGAATAATTTGATCAGTTAAGGGAGTTCTAAAACATTGTAAAGCCTTTTTCTCTTTTCTTAACAATTGAGAGATCAGCTCATTAAAACAACCCCTGGGACTATTAACTCTTACCACCCCATTCCCTATTATGTCCATCAGCTGTTCATGCTACCATAAATCCCACTACTCTGAATTTTTGGCAGCTTTGAAACATTGATTATTGTTGAAAGTCCACAAGGGTTGGATTTATGCATCCTAACTCTCTGCTTAGCACCTTGCCCACCCACAACTCCACAAGGTCCTCCAGGGAAGCTATGGCAGTCATGCTGCTAGGGTAATTAGACGAAAGAGACAGAGCTTATCTTAAATCATCCAATCCCTCTTTCTGTCTCCTTCTCTCCTCTTCTTCTCCTGTCTATTTTCCGCTCATAACCCTATCCAAAAGCAGGTTAGCTCATCTGCAAATTTGTTTTTTTTAACCCAGGCAAGTGTGAATTATAAAAGCAGCACAAGGAAAATATGCAGAAGACAGTTAAGCAGCCTTGCTGGTCTTTTATTCAGAGCACCCCAAAACCCTAATCACTTCCTTCATGACCAGAATGCTACCAGATTTTGTAGAAAAGTCAGTGTGTGTAAGTGTGTGGCAGTACATGCAGGCATTCTTTGTTGCAAATTGTGCATGCGCATTCCTGTTTGTGTGTGTTTTGATCATTCTGTAGGATTGAGACCATGAATGAATGTTATAGAATGTTTGTACACAGTATGAAGGCTCATTATTTCAGTTTTTTAAATGTTTAGTTAAAAAATAACCAAGTTTTATAAGGTGACAGGCATCACAAGAAGCTGTTTAACTTAGGTGGTTAACCACCCTGACCCAGCTCATCATTTACTCTTATGTCCTAAACAACAGCCACTACCACTTGAAGACATTTTCTGCTTGCAAAGTTGCTAAACTCTTTCTACCTAAAGGTTGAAGTTTAATCCTGAAAAATGATTTTGTTTTTTTTTTAATGCCCATCAAACACTAGAAAATTAATCTTCAGGAAAATTTTATGTCACCAAGGATCAAAAACTAGTTTTCTGCTGCAAAAATATTCATCAATACAGTTTAGGTACAAGTGTTTAGGTAAAAAAAAACATCATTTAAACCAAATGCTTGCACTAAAAATTGAATCTTTTTATTCTCCCATTTTATCCAAAAATTTGGAATCGCAGTCATGTAAAAGAAAACATCATAAATTTGTCACTATTTTCTTAATAAAAACCATGGGGACAGTCTAGGACAAACACTATATTTTGTGCTGCCAAACATCACTTCTTTAAGTCATTTTGTGCTACTGAAGTTACTGGTTCTTTAGTAAATTTGTGAGAGGGACTCCACCTCTTATACCCTGGGTTTTCATTCGCCTACAAACATCCAGGTGTACAGATTATATCTTTTGAAAAATAACAGAAAATAATGAGCCCTCAGTACATTAAGGAAACTGTGCAAAGTGGGTTTGTGTGTGTGAGTGCATAAAGCGCTGCTCTGTGTCCCCTGGGCTGTGTTAACGCTCCCACCGTGTGTTGTTGTTGTTGTGTGTGTGTTAAACACATGCAGTCCCTATCCTTGCCACAGTGGTCATTGGAATTCTCTGCACCGGTGGATACCTGGTTTGGCGCAACTGGCGGCGCAAGAACACAAAGAGCATGAATTTCGACAACCCTGTTTACCGCAAAACTACAGAGGACGACGACGATGAGATCCACATCGGTCGACACAGCGAGTCCATTGGTCACGTCTACCCAGCGTTGTGGGCCAGCCACAGTCAGCCATTCATAGCGCTCCCTCTAGGGGGTGGCATCACAGACAGCAACTCTCACTGGTACTCAGGGGCACCGATGCTCTCCAGCAGCAAATGAGAAAAGCTGCCGAGTAAAGGAAGGAGTTTGCGTTATTTGGGAAGATGCACTGGGTTTTGGACACGTAGGCCTGGTAGAAAGAGAGAACAGGCTTGCATATGCACACACCCACACACTCATACATCATATTTGCGGTAATCACCAATCACACACACACCTTTGACTGGTACGCCATGTTCACTTCGTTCACCTTCATTGATCATAATCATACAGTACATTCATTTATCAAAACCACATCCTTTTCACCAACCTGCCATCCCATTTATTAGTACATTGTGTTAGGTTGGGAGACGTATCTTTTTTTTAATACGCCCTGTTTCCAGACAACACTACATATAGACACATAAATGCTTTTTCATTCTTTTCAACATGATCAGTAGACAACAGAAAATACATATGTGCCACTAGAAAGCATGCTTGTCAAAAAGGAATTTTTATGTTTCGTTCTTATTTTTTTTGCTGAAAATGATAACAAAGGGTCCTCCAGATATTAGAGGGGCACTGAAGCTTAAACAATTACAGTCTTCTTGATGCAGTATGGTTTATACAACAGAGAGGTGCATGCAGTGGCATTTGTTTATTAGTTGAACAAAGGTTATTTTAGTTTACAAATGCCTCTGAGGAGAAAGACGACTACAGTAGCTTTATAGTCACCACAGAGAGGTGAGTGAAAGGACAGCAGAGCACAGGACCAGATCACTCTGCCAATAAACTGGATTTTTAGAGTGGATAGTAACATTATGACATTGCCCTCCCTATATGATTTTTTTTTTCCATTTACAGTGTAAATAAGATGTGAAAGATAAAAAGCAAGCACAAATTGGAACCAAGGACAGTTGAAAATTGGATTTATCGCTCACCATGAATCTCTGTATCAGTACCATCTTACTTGCCCATCGATGTAGATGGTGATGATGTAGATGGAAAATCATTTATTGAGCACAAAGCGGCATTTTCTAGATACTGTCCGGACTATGCCAGCTGTGATTTACACTCATATACACTTAAATGTAGAGGAAGTGTGTCATCAGGACACTTATTGAATATATTTGTTGTTTTAGGTGTCAGAGAGTAGGCAGGGAAGGGCAGCCAAAAAGGATTATTGGGGGGATGGGAGCCCATAATGCTTTGATCGGTTGGCATGGTAACACAGATTTCTTTGTGTTGCTCTGGAGAGAAAAGAGGCAAAGAATTCTGGGTATCATTGGCATGATGACAAGCTAGAAACACATACTCATATACGCACACAAAACAGGTGCACAACTGTGTTACATTAAGATTCAAGGTCAAAGTAACAAGCAGTGAAGGGCTGTAGAGAGGATACTATGTTCTCTCTCTTGTCTCAGCATGTTATTGTTTACTTCTGCATAAATCTCTTTTAATGTCTTTTTATGTTTTTACTCCTTTTCTTCCTCTCCTGTCCTCTTCTTTCCTTTCCTTTCCCTTTGTAGCAATGCAGATAGAAATTAGGCTGGCATTATGTGGGCCAGACATTTGCAGCTGTAGGCAGGCATCCTGCATTCCTCGCATAAAAACAGTCAAAGAAGGAGGGAATGAACAAGGAAGGGAAAATGGAAAGAGGAGAAGAGGATGGTCAGAGAAGGGAGGGAGAAGTGAGGACTGCAAAAAGGAAAGGAAAGAATGGAAATGTGTGGACCTGCCATTTCTGGGGTTCCATCTGGGTTCTTTGTTTCTCCTCAGTTCTTCTGCTGCTCTGTTTTCTCTCTCACTTCTCTCTGTCTCCCCTTCATCAGCCTACTGTGGTAACAGTTTTTTTTTTATCTGCTGTTTGCAGCGCGTGGCACTCAGTGCAGAGGATGATGGCTTTCCCTGAGGTGGGGTAGCAGCATTACCCCCACCCCCGCTAAAAAACAAAATCCCATTCTGGCCCCTCCTCTCACCACAGCCTCGACACCACTACAGTGAGGCCAGTACAACGCAGAGGAGAAAGAGGAGTCTTCATTTTGCCCCTTTTAAGGAGCAGGGATGACATGTACTTCTTGTAAAACCCCTCTTCCTTTCCTTCTTTCTCTAATGGAGTAACATTACTACCACTACTAGCTACTATACTACTTGCTACGTGCTAGTTGCCAGTATCCTCTGTTCCACTCCTCTCTTCTCTCTGCCACTTGTTAGCAGTAGTGGTGTGTTAAAAGGTGCTCGATGATTTTTTTTTTTTCTTCCCCCAAACTAACCTCGTTCCACTATACATTGTAAATACAAGGCTATGTGGCCACCGTACACAAGGAAAAAGCCAGCATGCATTCTTTTTAATTCCTCATATTCTGAGTATTTATTTGTTTGTGTTTGCTGTTGTAAATATGTAACCAGCCCCTCTCAGTGTATAGTACTAAAAGCAGGTTTGCAAGGATATACAGTACTTTTATTTATAATGCCCCTTACACCTTGATTTGATGTGACAGATTTTTTTAAAAGGGTGAATATCTTTTTGTCACACCCAGGACCTCAGATTTGCTCCTTGACATACAGTATGTAGGGAGGCAAAGCTAAATATAGCCAAGGGGACAGGGGACAGAAAATATTATGGGGTTGCTGCCAGAGGCAAATAGCAGCAGGGCAGAAGAGGCCAAGGATTATGGGTAATCCTCGCTCCAGGCATCAGGTGTATGCATTTGAACTTGGGATTGTTTGATAAGATGCAGTTTGTGTTAGGATTCATGCATTTGTTTCTAATTTTTGTTTATGTTTGTGTCTGCTACCATCAGTTTTATGCAGGTAAAAATGACTTCCAGACAGCAGAGAGTAATTTAGGTCCTTCCTTTCTTTTGACATATGAGGTACTAAGGTCTGTGAATTCCAACCCTAAGATGCACACAAAACATCTTTCCTTTTAATTATTATTTTAGTAATTCAAAAGACTCAATGTATTTTTTTTTTTTTGTTCGGTATTTGGATCCATTTAAATTCATAGTTGCAGATCCTGTATTGGAATCCTGTTGATATATAAGACAATGAACGATAAAGTAAGGTCATCCAGGGTATCAGAGATTCTGCACAGCAACACCAGTTTTATTTTTGAGTATTACTATCCAAAATGAAGATTCTGTTTTAAAACATATACCAATGTTGAATCAAAAAGTGCTAGGATGCAGAGTAGGAGGAAATGAAAAGAGATGACAGAAACATACTGTATATATTGTTTTGAGCTACTGACAAATATTATCAATAGTCTGAATTGTATGAGTTGAAGTGTGAGTTTTATCTGTCTACTGTATCTTCGGCTCATAGTCTTTAACACTACGTCACTTTTATGGTTATTGTCTCTCAAAATATCACTTTCCCATTGAATTGACATCAGAGCTTAAATGCTAAACACAGACGTTAGCGTTTGAACTTGAGCACTTCTAAACATCACTCCGTGTCTCAGCGGCTATGCGGCGCTGGTTTTAGTGATTCAGAGCCTGACAACTGCTCCATCTTTCCACCCCTTTTTAACAACAGAGCTGTGTGTTTTCTGGAGGAGACGGTGCCGAACAAATGCCCACATTTAGATGGAATCATTTTCTGCTGTCACCGACTGTTCAGTGTGATTGTGAGCAGCATTGTTTTGCATGAACACGAGTAATACACGGAGGCTGAGTGAGCCGAGTGCTGATTTGATTTGATAGCTGGATAGAGAGGAAATGTGTAAACCAGCGTAAACAGTTGATCTTCCATTGGCTCGCCACAGACATGCTTCCAGCCCACTGAATCAAATGGAATTTATGCACAGTGAATATTGCAATAATTGCTCATAATGTGTTATGGCAGAATAACATGATAGCTGTTATGGCAAATTAATAGCTCTTTGACTGAGGATGTCATTTAGCTTCAATTAAGGGCTTTTTGACTGTCAAGCATGCATACATGTAATACAGTAAATAAGGTATAAAGCAGTTTTACATTGGCTATATACATATGGTATAACACTTGTCTTCCATTCTTAGTGACAAATTCAAACAATGTTTCATTTTGGCTGAGCTGGGCTAAGAAGTCCTTTTGTTTGTCACATCCTCAGTCTATTCAAGAACCTGATATATGCCTGAATTGCAAGCAAAAAAAGTATATAATGCAAACATTGAAGTCTTCCAACATACTCAGTACAGACTCAGCATTTCTATTTATCCAGCTACACAGACAGCAAGTGCATACATTTGATTGCTGTTTTCACAGTTCTCGAAGTTTGTTGGAGAGGTTTTAACAGTGTAGGTGTTTGGGTATCCACCAGGGACGAAAACAGACAAAGTAGGCAGTAAATCACTGCCAGGATTTAGACTAGCCCATATGCAAGCAGGCTTGTATTCAGAAGATGAATGGTGGATCATTTATTTAGCTGGATTTCTGCTGATATTGTGTTGTTGTATTTTGATACCCACTCCCCTCACCTCCCTCAGAAGGATGCAACTCTTTCCTCTCAGTTGCACGTGATGCGCAGTGGGCGATTTTCTGTACTGTATGTGACAAGTGGCATCCTAGACAGGTAGATTGAAGTCCTCATCAGCACTGCACTCCCCTGCGTGTAGCTAATGAAGCAGGATTGAGCACAAGCGGGAGTCCATCTCCTGCCGTAGTAACCTTGTATAGATGAAGCAAAATCAAATGCATTACAAGGTGTGGAAGACTGGCTCAACTCAGCAGGACTGGACCGGTTTGGCGAGCTCCTGCGGTGTTTGGTTTTTAGGCAGGTTGTAGAATTGCCATGTACTGTATAAAACAGTTTGAATAAGCCCAGCTGCATGTTGGAGTTAAATGTGGTCACTTTTTAATATCAGCAGGCGGTGTGATGACTGCGGTAATTATCATTAATGTTCACAATTTCAGATTTTTTCATACTGAACCTGAAGGAAAGTGGAAGATAATGATGAAAGATGTCATGAGTCTTTTGTTGTATAGTTGCGATTTTAGGATTAAAGAAATCGCAAACCCAATGCTGGTTTGAAGTGTGCATTGAGTCAGCTCTGCATCTCACACCTTTCCTTTATGGCAGTGTTTCCTTCAGACCTAGCAGAGTTCCATACTGAGGGTTTGGAGCTGGGAGAATAAATTGCTTATTTATTGAGGTGACTGAGCGTGGTATTGTAGAAAATTTATTACCGTTACAGTCTAAGGACAGATTGACAGGTGCACTTTGTGGCCACCTTGAAAGCAGCCATATTCACTGAAGGACGCTTAAAAACTCTAGAAAGGGCCTTTTGTCATTCATGATATAGTAGGTACTGTAGTATTTGTGCTAGTACACTCCATCAGCATAGTCTTCTTATCAGTCAGCCCCATTAAGAACAGGCTACAGCCACACAGTAAAGATCCGAGCACTCTCTTATTCTGAAAAGGTCAGTGGAGGTTATTCGGTTATTGTAATACAGGTACTATGTTGTACAGGCATTTGAGATTCTTTCTCCAGGCTAGTGTTTTGTCTGTTAACTTAGTTGAAGCCTTCAGTGTTAACCCACTAGCTGCTGCTTTGGAGAAATGTTCAATGTGAAACGGTATCTTGCACAAGTTACTCAAACGGGAACGTAGAAAGTGTGGTAAATTTAGCTTATAATACACTGTGTCTTGAATTGATTTTCAGGTACATTTATGCTGAATTTAAGATGTGCTTAAACACTAAAGATCTACAGTAAATCCATTTGCACCAGCTGAGTTCTAACTTACCTGAAAATGTATGCATCAGAAACTTGTATGTAACTTACATGGAGATGATGTTACGAAACATTTAGACCCATTAACTTATTATTAGTTGATCAAAGCAAATACTTAGTCCTGATAACCTATAATCTAATGTAACAAGCAGTGAATGTAATTATAGTGTTCCTGATTTGTGCTCCATAGTTTTAACTGTCCTGTTGCTCGTCCTTTCTTCCTTCTGTGCACTGTTCTAATCCCAGTCTTTTCTGAGCAGAGAATCTAACATGCTGCTTTAATCAGGATGCACTGACTGCTTTCTAACATCACACACATCTCTCCTACGATGCACAGCTTCATGCACTGTTTGTGAATTAATGCCAGGCGTGAGGCTTCAAGTGCTTCTGTGGTTGCTATACTGCTGAGCATTGCTTTCTCAGTGTGCACTCATTGTCTTGCCCTCCCATCTTCATCTCAACCATCGACATCTTTCCTTTGGCAAGGGCTATTGGTTTTTGGGTAGACAGACACACGCGCACTGTAAAAAATGGGGAAAAACACTGGAGAAAATACGCTCGAACCCCAGAATTTACAAGGACACACCCCTTCTGGTTGTGAACCAGCGGGCCATTGAACAAGCTCACTCAGCCAGGAGAAGCATTCCCCAGCTTTGGCTCCAGTTTTGGACTTCCATTCACTCTACTTGGCTGGCATTTAACTCTTGTTGACCCAGTGACTTTCCTTCATAAGCTGGTTCCTCTTATTACCATGTGGTTTTTGGACTGTTAACTGTGTAAGTGAGTTGTAAAGTAGTTGTTGCTCTTTCTTCCTCCTTTCTAATCCATTCCCAGTTTTGATCTACTTGATGTTTGATTACTTGAAGTGCAATGTTGCTGTTTCTACCCATGTAAAATGAAGGCTGGGGGAGAAGGTAGTAATGGGAAAGTCTGTTTGTGTGAATCCTTTATTTGGGTTAGGATGATGATGATATACAGGGGAACTTTTTGAAAAAACAGTTGTCACTGATTTTACTTCAGCAGCGATTAAGGTAGGAGAAAATTACTGCAAACATACAAACTACTGCTTTCAGTTTTTTGTTTTGTTTGTTGTATTTTTTGTTTTTTGTTTTTTTGCTAAACTGTCTACCCACGTTTTTTGAAAATGTTGCCGATGAGTCATTGCCCGCAAGAAAATTTCAAAAACCATTTGGGCCCAGTCCATTCCACAGTCACACAACAGTCATTTTTTTATGCTGTTTGTTGCACAAAACTTTTCAAGAAGCCTTCTGCACTGTGTAAAGAGATAACGTTCTTAGGAGGGGAACAAATAATGGGGGTGGGGGTTGATGATGAAGTCCAGTGGTTTTGAATCATGACTTGTAAATAAGTTTTCATACAGCAAAAACCTTTTGATAATGTTTTAAATGTAACTGTAAAAATGATGTACATAAACCTCCGGGGTAAAAACGAGTGTAGACTATATAAGAATTTATTTGAACGCAAGAGCACTGGATTTCTTTACTACTTGATTGTAACTAAAAATTAATAATCTGCCAAAGTGTTTTTTTTTTCCTTTATTTTTTTTATTTTTTTTTTTATTTTTTTTGCTTTGCTTTTTAACACTATTGTAGTTTCTTAGTGTTCATACTGTATTTAATTCTGTTGTTTTTTTTCCCTTTGAGGGGTTATTTTAATTTATTGGTGCCTTGTTTTGTGCTCCTGTATACTTTTATTCTTTCTGTTTCTCTGTGCTATGTGTCTGTTGGAGGGCAAGGAGGCGTAACTGGCGGTTGGTGAGGGAAGGGGAGGGGGGAGTTAAAAACTTAGCAACTTCTGTACTTACATCCATTATCTGTACTGTATGCCAAAATGGTCTCACTCACGTTTCTATGAAATCAAGCTGTTGATAAATATCTCTATATATTGATATATTAAATTTCTAAAAACTGTCCAAACTTTGGTGTTGATACCTTATCCTGTGTGTTTTGAAGCTGTCTTGTTGTTTGAATTTGTTTATTTACCAAGGAAATATGGACTTTAAAGTAGTTTTATGTCCACATGAGTAATGCACGACGGATAGTGAATTTATACTTCAGTATCCAAGTATAAGTACCTTAAAATCCCACTTGTGTATACCGCATTTCATCAGCTCTCAATTTGGACTGTAAATATCCCATTTCAGGGCTCCTGATTCACTCACACTCATTTTGTATTTGATATAGTCAAAGAATAGCTCACTTAGAAGCTGTCTGAGCTTTAAGATAGTATAGCATATTTTGTACTGGTCATTGGAAATGATTTCCTGCAGACACGTACTGTAGGTGACTTTGGCGTACTGCATGTGTGTCCCCAACAAACCTTCCAAACATTTGTTGTTTTTCTTTGCTGATGTGTTTCATCTTGGTCTGTGTTACTCAGCTCTCCAGAGGCAGAGGTAAGTTACCATAAAAGATAGAAGAAACAGAACTGGAAGTGAGTGGGTATAATGGGCTGACAGTGTAAGCAAATAAAAAAGTAACAGGAGCCTTGATCCTTGGAGAGATGTGAGAAGTGACAGTCCACTGAAGCACTGATGGATGAGCCGGCGTCAAGAGCTGGCTGAGGATATGGAAGCTCTTTTGGTCTGCCCATTGTTCCAGGGTTGCTGTCGCTCTTCACTGAGGATTCAGCCCTGCTGGTGCCCTGCACTGTCATCTTCCCGGTCATTACAGAAGTCAAGACAGCTCAAGGGTGTCACTGAGGATTCATCATAACCGAAGGACTCCTGCTGCTGCGGATCAAGCGGATTCTGTTACTGGGTTATCCTTTGTATTTTGTAGAAAAAGTACACTGAACCACTCCTTTAGATCTGTGATCAATGGAAAGATTTGTATTCTTTTTCTCTTAATTTCATACTTGTGTGAGTGTTGGAAAGCAGAATTTACAGAGCAGCATTTGAAACCTTTGAAAATTCCTCCTTGATGCTGAATGTTTCACATTGTATCTGAGATGTTGCAGAACAGAGTTATCACTCAGAAGTCTTCCCTGAAGTTGAAACATAACAAGGAAGGGAAAACTGCATCATAACTCCCATACAGTATTTATTTCTTTCCTTTTATTTATTACTAATATATCTCAGTATTTCAGTATACTGCCACCTTCAGGCTGAAATTCATGTTATGCAGAGTCAAGGACAGATGCTTCAAATTTCTCAGGGGAATCAACCTAAACATAAGAGCAGACAGACCTTCGACATCAGCCAGAAGACTCTCCAAACACTAGAGACCTCTCTGTGAACTCAGTGTTCAGGTTGATCGATTTCCTTGAAAAGTCTGACTTGGAAAATCCTGTTAGGTGTTGGACCTTTCCCAAGGAAAGCAGTGTGCTGAAATCATTTTTACAGCTAAATATATATTTAAGAAAAAAGATTTCCACTCTAGCTTCTTTAATGTAATGTGTCTGCTGACTGACTGACAGGCATTCAGTCCTTCCTGAAGGAAAACACCTGTTAAACTTTCTGTAGCTAAATAAAGACCTGTCCAGTGTGTACCCACGCCTCTCACCCAGTGTCAGCTGGGATTGGCTCGAGTTTCATATCCATCCACCTGAACGTGGATGCATCTTTGTCTGTGGGGGCAGCTGTGGTTCAGTGGGTCGAGCGGTTGTCACCCAATCGAATCACAGTGCCTACAGTCCACACGTCAAAGTGTCCTTGGGCAAGACACTGAACCCTCAAGTTGCCCCCGATGGTTAGAGCCATTGGTGTGAGTTAGTGCCGCAAATGGCTGCCTTGGTTCTGGTTCTGTACCGGAAACAAATTCCTTGTGTGCAACAAACTTGGCCAAATAAAGGTGATTACCCTTATACTGTGAGGGAGGATGCCAGAAAACTAATGAAACACAGGGAGAGCATTCAAGATCTCTACACCATACAAGATGCCACGTTACAAATATAATCTCTTTTTTTTTTCTTCAACACTTTAACGCCCTTGTAACTGCACTTTATGGTACTGTGTGGTAATCCAGGCTCCTTCTACAACAGCATGCTTTCTTGTTCTGTCTCTTTCCTTCATTTGCCTCTGAAACTGTTTTCCTCTCTCATTCTAAAGTTCAGTTCTTAAGTTAAAAAATACTCTTGTTGCTGTTTGTGAGCAATAAACTTCTGAAAGGGCTGAAGGGGGTTTCTTGTATATGTACTCAGAAAATTATCACCAAGCTCTTCAGGTTTGTAAGTGTTAAAGCGTAGTGTTTAGATTTTATGCCCCTGAGCTTTACTGGTTCACTCTTACTGTTCTCATCAGCTTAATTTTCAGGTTCATCCACTGCCTGGCCACCACCACATGACAGTCTCAGTCCTGCTTCCACCCTTTGTTTTCCTCTGGACTCTTCTAAAGACTGTCAGTCCACATCCTGGCTCCAGCTTCCAGATTTTCTCTCCCACTCCACACCTGTAGCCATTTTACTAATTAGCTTACATGTTTGCCTGTTCCCTTTGTTTGGTTGTCAGATTGTCTGATGTGCTCACCATCTTGTCAATCAGCCACAGTTTCCCTAGCCCTCTGGGCATTGAACACTTTCTAGGGTTGTTTCCTAGTGTTAGTCTTTCTTCTTGTGTTGGATTATTTCTTCATGTTGACCCTGCCTGCCTCTGGTCTCTGTCTCTTGCTTAACCATTTGGATTTATTGCTTGGCCTGGACTGAATGCACACCTTTGACTCCTGTTTGGACTTTCTGCTGCTATCTCCTCAGTTTTGCCTGCCTGGACTGCAAGTAAACCTCATGTTTGTCATGTGCTAAAAAACAAACAAATGAAAAACTGTAAGTTATCGGTTAGCCTGTTGGAATGTCTGCATTTGGGTTCAACTTCTTAGTGCAGTCTCCATGTCACCTTAGAACTGGATATGTCAGTGAAGCTTGTTCAAGTGGCCAAATCCATTTATACAGGTATAATTTTCTCATTTTACTTATGTGAACACACTGACACCACATCTAGTGTGGAACTGAGAAAGCTGCATAGGATTCATGCTCTGCTGCCCCTGCTGGCTGGAGGCCCAGGCAACACTAAATTGATTGCAGCAGCACACTGAATCCTGAACAGGCTGTTAATTTGCTTGGCTCTTTCCAACCAAGAAAGATTAATCTGCCAGTTTGTTTTCAGGCCATATCAGTTTCTGTAAAACATAATAACATGAACCAGAGTTTCTGCATATGTTTGCTATAGTGTTCCTTCTTATTGTTGCTTATTTCACTGTTCTTTGTTTCTTCCATCTGACTGCCTTCCTTTAAGCCTTTGTCCCCTGTGCTACCCCGGAGCTCTGCTGTGGGGATGCCAGTTTATGGCACTTCTCTGTGTGAACAGTTTCACAAAATTAATTATTCAAGTGTTTCATAACTGGTGTAAAACTAAGCTGTAAAAATGAAATTAACATCCAGTCTCCCTTTATTTTTTTCCATTCATTTTCATTTTATTCCTCCATTTTTCCCTCTTTGCATCTGTCTTTCGCTTCCTGTCTCTTGTGGCCAATTCCATTTCACCTCTTTCGGCAGTTTTGGCCTTTCTTTTGCGATACTTTCCAAGTGTGGCATCTCTTTGTTTGTGAAAGGAGTGGTTAATGTGCCCCATATGGCCCTTAGAAAGTTATTGCAATAAACTCAGTTTCCGTTTTTAAAATACTGTGAACACTCGACCGCCACTTTTCTCTGTCTCTCTCTCCCTTCTCTGCCTCATGAATGACAGCTTCTATTATCTCCTGGATAATAAATTGCACAGATTAGTCATGGGGGCAGACGAGGGAGCAGGGATATGTCATGCTCTGTGTGATTGTGTGTGTGTGTCTGTGCCCGTCTGCGTTTGTTTGTATATGGTTTTCTGCCTATGTGTGTATTCATGGATTGTGTTGAGCTATGTGTTAAGCTAGTAATGTTTGACTAAGTCTATTTGTTTCTCTTTGTCTATATTCATGAGTTTCTTTCCAGCAGAGTGTGTGTGTGCATATACATGTGTGACTGTCAGTCTAGATGCATGCCATTATGGGTGTGTTTGTGTCTGCAGTGGAACACACCAGAGGAGGAGTTGATGGGCCAAGTGCCATTACCTGATAATTACAGCTAAAAGTCTCTATGCTAACGAGGATGGCTCATCATCACGGTGCTGGCAGACATACAGGACACAAACATCTACAATTCAGATTAAAAGCACTTGTGTTCAGTGTGTGTGTGCATTTTGTATTTGATTCCTGTTCTCTTTGTCTTTTTCTGTATGTTCATACATGTCCTGTATGGTGGGTGGATTATTACTAAGCACAGAGGCTCACATTTTTTAAAAAAGAAACTAGCCTTTCAGTGTCTACACAGACTCAAATATGAACACTGTATATCAGTGTAATTGGCTGGCACAGAAGCCCAGTGTGAGTTGAGTTTGAGGGCATCCATATCCTGCACACTGGGGATGCCTGTAATGGGCTCACTCTTCCCCCCTTGTAATGGGTTTAGTCCCCGCCTAAATGGTGTTTGTGGCACATTCAGCAACAGCAACATGAATGTGCAATTATACAAAAACCTCAAAATAAATATTTCACCCTGTTGTGCTACAGATGTTCTCTTTGCATATGTGTGATAAATGAATTAAGATAAATTTTCTACCTGCTGGGACAGGTGAGGGTGTTCACACCCTGACATATCGCCAACCTCATTTGCAGTGAGCCTGCTAAGCCTTGATATTTACAATCCCCTGCCTTCCAAACGGGAGAAAAGATCATTTTTACTCATTACGCTTGCATGCATATAGTTTGTACCGTGTATGTAATTGCTGCAGCTGGAACAACTCAGAAACGGTTCTAATGCATCATCCACTTGAGCTAAGAGCACATCACTCTCATCCTCTGTTTATGATTAGCAGCCATCTGTTTCTGTAAAAATGGATATCCAGTCTGGTTTAATCAATCGCATCATTTCAATATAGTAGATTTTACTTTTGTGGAATGTTTTATGTGTGGGTAATTTTTTTTTTTAAGAATAGAAATAGTAAATTTGATGTCACACCAGTACCCTGGTATGCAGTAGTTGGTCCAGCTTAGCTCTGTTAGCTCAGTTTTAAACATCTTCTAGTTGCATCTGGCAAAATAAATAAAACTCAAAGTTTTGAAAGATGTAAATATGAAATCATCTATGGTATTAAACTAAATGTTCTTTCATTTCTACCAAACTGGCAATGTCATATTCATTAGGAGAGATCAAAAAATGCTTCCATATTTCAGCCTTACAACATTTTGTCTAGTGTGACTATGAAATCTGACATGAGGATGTGAAAATGTGTGCAGATTAACAGCACTAATTAATGAAATAAAACCTGAGCAAAGCTGAATCTTTAATAAGATCAAGCAACATCCAGAACAAAGGGGAAAACTGGAGAACAGTTTATTTACAGCAGGTTCTTCCATGCACATGTAGTCCCCTAGGAAATGAAGAGGATACTGTGGCATTATCTTCAAAGTTACTTAATGAGTGGAACAGTTGTCCATTATGTTGCTACCAAGGCTTAAAATAGAGAAGTCAGTGCTTCAGAGAGGACTTAATACTGGGGAATGTCTTGAAACAACATCCACGTTCATACAGGCCATTGCATGTTTTTAAACTACCCAACAAATTAAGGCCAACTTCACATCCTACTGTCTTGTGTAAAAGTGCAGCACTTTTACCTACAATTATGTTTTTTGGAAGTATGGTATTGTTACTTGCAATTAATTGTTAGCTCTCCCACTGATAATTGCACAATATATTCATGGTATACTGAGAAATGCAAACAGGCATTTTGCCTCCTCCACCCTGACTGACTGGCCAATGACTCCCACCTAATCCACCTGTGATTTTTAATGATTGTGCCCCTACAGGGCTTAAATACCACATACCAGTCAGACAAGTCTGAAGATGCCTTTTGAGTGAGAGGTGAAATGTCCTGAAGAAACCTACAGCAAGTTCAGTTGCCTCTGTCTTAAGGCTTTCGGATAGTTAGGAAGGGACTATCTCAGTGGACAATCTGTGTTTCTGTAGAGTGGTACCGCCATCTACTGGCCACCGTTTTTCATTACCATGAGCTTCGAGAAAGGTGTGATTGGATGTTGTGGTTTGGAGTATATTAGACAATATACTACACAAAAATATATAACCACACAATATGCCCAACAAGAATGGTGTCCCCAGTCAATAATTATATGTAGGGTTAATGACAGTCTAGTCGTCTTTTTATTTCTGTTGTAAACAAACCAGATGCATAGTGTACATTTGGTGGTTGTCAAGTCAACTTTTATTTGTATAGCCCAACATCACAAATCACACATATGACTCAAGGGGCTTTACAGTTTGTACAGCATACGACACCCTCTGTCCTTGGACAACTGAATCGGATAAGTAAAACCTCCCGAAGAAGAAATTATTAGGGTTGGTTTTACTATTGACAGACCTATCAGTCCATTGAGGTGTAATCTAAGGCGTTTGTAAGATTGTTCATCAAAAGGCAAAGCTGACAAACTGACACTGGCATTATTTTAATTTTGTAGCTGATGTTTTGTATTGTAAATGGTGGAGGATAACAATATTAATTTGAATATGTTATTTTATTTAGAAAGAATTCTCTGGTTTGTCACATACAAGCCTGTTGTACACAGAGTAGTACGGGTTTTTACATTTGACTCTGATTCAGTGGGGTGTTCAAACAACAGCGCTGTGACCCTTTTAGCTTAACCAGTGTCAGATCTGCGTAATGTTTTCCTTAACGGTAGCATTAAAGGGCACGTGTCACAGTCTACAACCTCACCATTATCACACATGTACAATACCTCCCCCCCACCACTCAAAGTTAAGCTGAATAATCATATTGTCAGGGAACACTCAGCATAATTTCTAATCATCCAAATTCCCCTCCAACACAACACCTGGAATATTTGTCCGTGCATACATAAGTATATATATTTATATATATAATATGGTAAAAAATATAGCATTTGGAATAAATACATATTTTTAGAGCAAACTGTCAGAATAATTGTTGTATACTCTTCACAATACTGTATATACATGTATTTGGCTGGACTTACAGGAACAAATGTTTAACCCCATGTGAAACAGATTTGGTTTCAGGTCTTTGGTGCTCAGCCAGTTATGAAACCTTATTACATCTGGCTCACACCGGATTAAACATGTGGGTGTGATTTAACACTTAAAGTACTACACAGGCATGGAAGACCAGATATAACGGATACTTGTCACAGCACAGATCAGATCACCCTTCAGCTATCTGTGCTGTAGGAAGCTACACAGACTCTTTGATTTTTGTCCCTTAATATACAGACAACCAGTAGTGACCCAATGTGCTGCATAGGGTTAAATTTCAGGGTTTCAGCCTCATTGTTTAGATGCTACTCTGACTCAACAAATGAAGATGATCTGATTGCTAAAACACTCATGAAGAAAATCCTATTGCTGCTAAATAAATGCAGCCCCTTTTTATGGTACTACATAGTTACAGTAGGATACTAAAGTCCATCTCCATAGGCCTGTATTGGCTCCTATATTAGTAAAGTGTCTGGGAATAACAGAGTAATTGTGCAGAATTAGAGTTCAGATCACACTGCATCACAGAAAAATACAGCAATGCAAAGGCGTTGCAATATAATTTGATTATCGGAGAAATGAATTTGGAATCCAGAGATTTTTCATCAGACTGGACTGTAGTAGACCACAGATATGGCATTTATTAAACTGAGTGTCGTTTTCTGTAAGTCCCACCTTGAGTGTCCCTAGAAAAATGGCTTTACCTCCTCCAAAGATCAGTTTTAAAATGTGGCTCAAGTGCAGTTATCTACCAATCCTGATCACAGTCAAGGACCACCACAGGTTACCTGTTTGCAGGTAAAAATGATTCATCTCTTTCTGTAAACGTATTGAACTATTTGACCTCTCTAGTGGGCACCAAGGGAGAGATGCTGATTTTAAACACTTATCAGACCAGTACACCTGCTTTAAGATACTTTAGGAGCATGGGTGTAGTGTAAACAAGCGAACAAGACCACTCACTGGAACAGATCTCTACTCTGTGAATCTGGATGGTGATGGGATTAAGGCTAGGCCAAAGCCAAACTCTGTACCTAGTTTGTGATTGAAAATATATCATGGATATTGCTTCTTAGTATGCAAACAGGCAAAACAATGCCCTCGTTGCTCTGGGGTTTAAGGTCTTTACCTGCCAGACATATAATTGCCTGGAGGCAGGAACAGGGTGAAAAGTGTTAGTCATTTTGAAAATGGGCAGATCAGGTCTTTGTGTTCAGGGTTTTCTATGCGATTAAATCTCTTTAGTCACACAATGTAAAAATATCCAGACTCATTCCTGTCTGCTATATCCACTGACACACTCTCTATGTTAGTCTCATGTCAATATAGTTAGTCTTGCTACATCTTTTTTTGGAATGTATCGTAGCCTGCCTGACATTCACTTTGCATTTTGTAGCATTTGCATACATGATGTGATATGAAATGAACAGGTAAACAAGACATAATACATTGAACTGAGGGAGGGAGATGGGGACAGAGAGATATGGATGTAATCACGAGAACAGACAGTATTACAACATACTGTTGATTAGTACAATAGAACAGTCAGCAGGGGGAGTAACTATTTGCATGCAGCAATGTCTGGATGATACAATCTTCCTTAGTAGTAGTCTTTCTTTAAGAATCTAGTTGTATTCTGGTTATAAAAATCATTTGTGTCCAACAGAAACACTTAATCTCCAACTAAATAATTTGTTTTTCAGTAATTTACAGATGATGATCACCCATGTCAGATGTGAAAAACCCAAGTATGACAAAAACAATGCACTATGCCAACTTTCCACTGAATGATGGGAAATTTGACCAGAAGTTAGAATGATCTGTAGTTCACACATTTGGAGATGTATATAGTTGCTTTTGGACATTATTAGACAGGACTATTTACTGTACACAAACACAATAAAAAAAAAAACGCATTAGAAAATACGGTTTCTGTGTTTATGTGATTATAATTTGTTAGAATATGTTTTCAGTAATGGCTTATGTCCAAATATGAAAAGACTGTGAATGCCATAAAGAAAAAATAAACGTCATATTTAATATCAAGGTAGATCATGTGCTTTGTATTTCATTTGAAGAGCTAGTTGGATGATTTAAAAAACAGCAGTTTCTCAAAGTATTTCTTCATCCACTCGCCACTCGGTCAGTGCCTGCTCTTTCTTTATTCTCTTACCCTGTGCATTGCTTAATATCCTGTGGATCACACTGGTCACTGTCTTCTCATCAATCCAACTGACTGTCCACTGAGTGGCTGACGCAGTATATCCATAAATACCAATAGGACATGTTGGCAAAGATGGAGAAGAAAAATGTGGGAGTACATTGCTGGATTCTCCAATCACTGAGGTTTATATTCGAGCTCCCATAATTCCAAGGTAAACAGACCATATCGATGTTTCTTCTCTGGTCATACAGTGGATGTGCTGTATGATGTCGGGTTGCGGTCAATGAGCTTAGAGTGGTTTGGAAGAGTAAACGGGGGTCAGCCTGGCTCAAAGGAGGTCTGTGGTAGATGAGGGCTCAGAGGGTCGAGTCTCAGTGTGGGCCTTCAGAAGGTCGACTATGTCTTTATGGGAGGCTCCCTCTGCCACTGACAGTGCTGTTTGACCGTTCTGCGGGAAAGCAGGCAGAAAATGTTAGGTTCAGTCAAATATGTTGCAGTAACTGTTCTTATCCTGCCAGTGGCAGTGTTGTATTGCTCTTTCTCTAGCAACTGGACTTCATTGTACTTGGTAAATACTGCAACAGCCCTGATATAGACCATTCTATTATGGTGTACAGGACACTGGGAAACACTGGATTTAGTATCTGGAACCGTTGTGTAAATACCAAATACCAGTGGAGATTATTATTTATCATTTTCCTTTTAAGTCTGATAATTTACTACTAAAACTACACAACAAAATGTACAACAGATGTTCTTATACGTTGTTGGTAACTGCACCATTCTCAGTTATTCTTGCCGTTTATTCTTTTAGCCAAAAATTAGATATTGGATACTGCAGCAGACAAGGCTGCACACTGAGAGCCTTTATGTCTCAAGGGAACACAGATGTTTCAAAACGGCGTGAATGCTCTGTAGAGTTTACAGACTGCTTGACTTGATTACATATGTCAGAGCTGCTTATTTCCTCAGTTTTGAGATGGTTTGTCCACCTCTACCGCTAAATATAGTGTGTGCTCATGTGCTGTCAAGGAATCACACAGCAAATGAGCTACCAGAGGCACATGGCTCATCTGTTGGTTGGTTTTTAGTTTGTCTGTACACTGTATACTTATCTCAGTCATCCACAGTCAAATTCAGAGTAAATGCCTTAATGAATAGTTGTACTGAAGACCTTAAGATTTAGGCTAATTGTTGAACTTAGGAGGAGAGGTACAGTGTTGGAGGCGGCAGAAAGGTTGTGTTGAAAGGGGAGGTCAAGGATGTATTAGTTCACCCTCACCATTTAGATAGTGTATCGCAGATTGTAGCACTTGGGTGCCAAATCAATTTCTTATAAAATACTCAGACATTACAGTTGTATTGTCTTTGGTGACTGATGATTAAGACCCAAGTACGTACCAGGGTAAAATTGATTGGTTATTTGAATGGTGTGATAAACGCTTTCTTGTTATTAATAGAAAAACGATGGAGGAAATTATTTTGTCTCCCCTCAGTCAGCTTCCTTTTGTAATAATTTACAATGATGTAATTCGATAAACTGACAGTCATTCGTCATGTAATGTCTATCTATTAAAAAGAGCAGGCTGAAAAACCTTTTTGTTCATCAGCCTTTGTTGTTAAATCAAAATAAGTGTAGCTATACAAGTATATATGTATCTGTATCCAGAGACCATGATAATTAAGTGGGGGTGGTAGAAGTAATTTATGTTAATTTATTGTTGTGACTGTTTTTTGCTTTGGAGCTGCCTTCTCACAAGACAAATTTCCAATTTTAGCTGATGATGTGTTATCATATTGTAATTGTTTTGTCTTTTAGAAAACTGAGTATAAGTCCACACATGGATTCAGGTGTGGAGGTAGGGCTTATAAAATGCTACATGAGCTATAGCAGGAGTGTTGCAACAGTGTTTTACGGGACTGTTTGTAATGCAGAAGTGCACTAGCAGTGCAAGGCACCAGTTGTGGTTTGGCATTCCCTGACTGCAGAGGGGGGATCAACAATCTAAAGAAATCAGTTATGTACTTGAACAATCAGTGTTGTATGGCTATGACTACTTCTTTTTTTGCCTTGAAAAAGACCAGCTGTCATATATCATGTAAGCTTAGTGCTCATTTATTTACATTATTAGGGGGAGGCGACAGTGGTGCAGTGGGTAGAGCAGTCGTCTCCCAACTGGAAGGTTGAGGGTTTGAATCTCAGTGCCTGCAGTCCACATGTCAAAGTGTCCTTGGGCAAAACACTGACCCCTAGTTTCAGTGTTTCTTTATTGTACCTTGTCTGTGAGGCTGGTGTCACAGCGACCTGTCTCCAGCAGCAGACGAGCAATGTGTGTGTGTCCGTGTTCACTGGCGCACATGAGGGCCGTAGATCCCTCACGGTCCTGGGCATTTACATCTGCGCCGCAGCTCAGGAGCAGCTTCACCATGGCAATGCGGCCGTGGCTAACTGCGAGCATGAGTGCCGTCTGGCCCGCCTGGAGACAGCGTGAGAAATACATAGAATTAGAATTAAACAATAAGATAAAGCAGATATGAGGTGGGATAAAGAGATCCTGTACATGAAGAGAGATGCAAGGTCGGGGATGAATGAGGAAAATGGAGACATAAAAGTGACAAGTGCAATGAGAGAAAGGTTGTTTTGAAATTTATCACAGGTTACCAGATTACATGTCTAAATATAGACATCAAAAGTTGTCTTACTGTAGTCAAGAATGTGCAAACTATTCCCATGACTTCAGTGTGGGTTTATATTTATAAAATTTATAAATGTAGCTTGTTTTGCACTGTAGACAACCTTGCTGTTGAGATAAGTCTAGTTATGGTTTATTCCCTAAATGTGGCTTGTTACAATACCATAAATCTTGAGATATTCAGTGCACAAGCACTGATGTGTCATTGTTTACCTGTCGGGAACGTGCGTTGACATCACCCAGTCTCAACAGTTGTTCTGCCACCTCCAGATCATCAGGGCTCTCAGCAGCTGTCAGTGCAGCCAGCATCACTGGAGTGTAGCCTGCTTTGTTCACATTGTCTGTCTCACATAGGCCTGGACACACAGTGTTTTATTGAGTCAAAGAGAGCACTCATTTGGTTAAAATTGTGTTTCTCCATTTATGCCCGGTCAGCTATGTATGTCGCTGCGTGTGTTGGCGTCGCACCTGTATCCAGCAGCAGTTTGACCACAGGGAAGTTTGAATGCGACACACTGTAATGGAGGGCCATATTCCCATTGCCGTCTGTCAAGTTAACAACATATGGAAGAAGGGTGGGTGTGGTCAAACCCACTTGCTGCAGGTATAATCTGACAGTGTCGGCCTGCGAGTCTTTCTGACTGGAGACACTGAACCATTCCTGGTAAAGCACCACTAAAACCTGACGCTGAGGAGAGAGGGACAGAAAAGCTCGAAATGAGAAAGTGCCTGTATCAGCATTTGTATTGTTCCCTTAACATCATGTTTACTGTTTGGCCTGTTGAGTGTTTTCAGACGGATGAAAAGCACTGTATACCCCATTATTCACATCAGTGTACCCACTGCAGTCAAAGCTTTATAAGAACATCAGTAAAGGACCTGAAGCCTTTCCCTTAAACAAGTCATGTTTATCACTGTTTTCAGGAGCTTGAATAAATTCAGAAAAGAAGGCATCTTTTCTACAGCATAAAAAAAAGACTCCTTGTAAAAGCCTGTAGCTGATACAGTGTGGACAGATCAACAACCACCAACATTAACTTTGTGGTCAAATCAATTTATAGATTAATTATCAACACTGAAGAATCAAAACATACCCTTACCATTTCTTTATCTGGAGATGAAACCTCTTCCATGCGGTCCTTTACATATACGCAAGCATCTATAAAGGCTTTGTTAACATTCCCCCTGAAAACAAAGACCAGATGATGTAAAGAGCAAGGTTGTTGCCATATGTTAGATCATTTTTAAATTATTTTTGTCAAAAACTATCCTCGATCTTAAGTTACATTTCTGAGGAGATGCACATAGAGTAACTTGACCTGTAAGTTGCTATGGTGGCTATCATATGGACTAACCTCTTAATGCATCAACATAATTTAAGCTCTGCTGTCTGACTCACCCTTCAGCCTGCTTCTCCAGGAGCTCCTGGTTGCTGTCTAGATCCAGCAGGCCTCTTTCAGCTCCTTTCTCTCCAGCTACAGCCTCTCCCCCTTCACTTGGTACATCTGCATCCTTTCCCTGGGTCTCTATGGTCTCCTCAGGCTTTTCTGTTGACTGAGTCTCCTTTTCCTTCTCCACCTCTGGCTCAGAGCTGTCTTCCTCCTCCACTTTCAACTTCTCATCTCCACTGGACTCTTCACTGGATGTCGTCTCATAGCTAGAAGAGCACAAAGGCAAATGGGAATATACACAAACCTGAGCACAGACCCCATAATCAACCAGGATTGTGTCATATATGGTGATGCTTTTGCATACAGTGGCCTGTCTTTAATAACTGAAGGTGACATTCAGAAAGTGAAAAAATGCCCCTAAATCCATTTTTGAATGATAAAAGCTTTGGAAGAGTTGACACTCATCTCTTCACTAAACATAGGAATGTGTAGGCACATCAAAGAAGTAACTAATCTTAAACGAACATGAACGCAGTAAAGTCAACTTTTGACCAAGGCTAGTTAAATTCTAAGAAGTAGTTTCCCTCTACGACTCAAGCATGGCATAAGAAAGATGTCTGTTCAATGCAGCCTTGGCCCAATTAACAAATACATCTTTCACATAGTTAAACATGTACAAAAAAATCCATAGGTTTGTTTGCTCACTCGTATATTCAACCGTGGACAAAATGCAGCCTTATTCAGTGAGGAGCACTGGTGATGTATTTAGAGCTCTGGAGGTTGCTCGTGTAATGTCTGTGGGTGTGATCATTGAGGCGTTTCATGAGGGCACCTCTCTGAGGCCAAAGATCAGTTAAGTCTTGTACTGAATGCCACCGATTCATGCTTATTTGTGGACACGTGTGCACACACACCCCAAGACATCACACCAAGAGGCGCTCAGGGGCCACAACATTCTCTGGATTCCAGAGGAGCTCATGGGAGAGCAAAGATAGATTAGACCATCCAAAGAGAAGAAATACAAACCACAGCCCAATCCCTGGTATGGGCAGAAACACAAAGATAGTCAGAGAAAATATTGTTGTCTGACATTTTTGTCTTACTGTAACATATGCTCAGTTTAGTTTGGACTCCAGCAGTATAGGTTAAAGTCCAAAACAAAACAAACCTTTTTAATGGTATGCTCATCAATTTAAAACAAATGCAGGGATTAATGCCAACCAGGCATTTCATATTCAGTATAGAGATGCTTGTTGTTATAACTGTAACAAGCATCAGACCACCCTGTTTAGACACACTATTCTTCCAAATACTACCCTCTGCTTACTTAAAATTCACCAGCTTCTGTGACTACATACATACTGCATTAGCAATTGCTGACAAATTGGCACACATGCACAAAGCACTGAGGAATCAACACTGACTTAAACACACATCACATCACGTACAACACGTATTCATAGGTATGCACATTCACACTCCCAGCAGCAGCAGGGGGGTGAAATTCAGGGCAGTGAGTCTCCAAATGAACCTCAGTGCAGTGACCAACAGCAGGAAGCAGATGTATGAGACATAGCTGGACTTGGTTCACAATCAGTGTGGTCAAACTCAAATGAGCAAAGAGACGGATATCGTACTCATGAGTTCTAAAGTTTTTAGCATATGTGCCCTCATCCATATTTTTAATAATGAGGCTTTGAGTATGCAGGTGTCAGATTTGAATATTTCTGGCAACATTTTTATCTGGTTATGCTTTTAAATAAATTGACTGCTCCCTCTGACTTATAGGAGATGAGATAAAATTGATTAGATACTGCAGACAATCTGGCATTATTGCTCTTGGCCTGGCTATCTCCAGATATTATCTGACCAAATCTAATGCCAAGTTGTTTTCTGGCTAACTGGCTAGTCTGACTGAAGTTGCTATAACACATTCAGCTTAACAACTCTGAAGTGAAGCTATGAAATCCCCGTTTTTGACAAATTTCTTAAATCAGAAGAAAATGGAAAATTATATTTAATCACTCTATAATCCAAAAAGGACATGTAAGAGTAAAGTCTTCTATGGAAATAAAACAAGTATTAGACACAAACAGTCCACATAAACATGAATCACTCAAGAGACTGGACAGTGATTAAAAAGATTTTACCCTCCGTTCACTCCAACAAACTTCAGGTTTTTCTTGGCTCCCTTGTTCCTCTGCTTGTCAGCATCACCATTTTTCTTCATAATAGATTTGAGACCTGGTGGAGAGGAGGAGAGAGAAATGGAGAGGGGGAGGTGAAAAAGAAAAGTGAGGGGAAAAACATCATTAGGCTTTGGTGTTTATTGTTTAAGTGGATAGAGAAACTCATGTAATCCCCAAAAGTCCTCAAATCAAAACCCAAAATACAGAATGATGTTTGCTAGTGCCTCATATGGGCATTTAAAGACTTGCTATCTCTATGGTTAACTTGAGGCAACTAAAACTGCTTGATTTAGGTGAAGCTCACCAGGAGTTCTGGCCGCTTAAGACATTGCTAATTTAGCTTATTTTTCTTCTGTTGCCCATCTATATGTAAATGTTAATGCAGTAATTATCCCTGTAATTTAGCAACAGCCTCAAAGTTTTTTTGACCCACCTACAGGTATTGTAAGCAGCATTACACAATTTCTATGATTCCAACCGCTTCCATGAGTCATACATATCCAAAATCAAAACGAAATTTCTTTATCTTTAAACAAAGAAGATTCCTACAGCAGATGACATAAAAGCAATACATCATCAAACCGATATTAGCTAAGAAACACAGTGGTTTGGCCTTATTTATGTTTGCAAGTGTTGCATGTATTGAAGAACCTCTGGATGCAATTATAAATCCTTGTACTCTGGAGTCCCTCAGTTGGCAGATGGGAAGCATAGGCCCCATCTGCACAATATAACGAATGAGTGCAAACAGTGCTACACTCAAAAAATGACTATCCTTAATAAGAGCACCTGGTAAAACATAGTTAATGTAAAGACTAGGTATTTAAGTAATATGCATTCATTATATGATATGCAGTTTGAAAGCCAGTTTACAATTAGTATGGCCCCACAAATAGTTCTGAACCACAAAAAAACCTTTTCAGGGTAATACACACAGGTCAGGATCATAGGCCTTATCAACAGTATACAACCCTGACATTGTCAGGCCTACATTACTTATATATTACTCAATAAATAATTCTGTATGGGCTCCTTTGCCGACTACTCTTGGCTCCAAGCCCGGTATGGCTGTCTTAGTTGTGTCTAACAGCAGACATGGCGCAGAGGTTCTGTAATATTTTACGCAGGGATAAAAGGATGTGGCTTTGAGCCAGAAACCACCTGCTGAAGAGGACACGGTCTAAGATTATGGATTTTTATTTATTTATTTATTTTTATAGATTTATTTATCTCTCAGGAGAGAGCAGCCGCGAGAGGTGAGGTTAAGATTATGCTTGGCATTTGAATACATTCTCTAGCTAACTTCTAATGAATAAAGCAATGGTTTGATTTAACTTTCTCTCACTTTCTAGATGCTCTATGATGCTTCAGTCGTCGTACAAATCTCCGAACCTTAACTTGATGATTGGGTTCTCAGTGCAACTGTACACGCATAGAGCACCTAATGGCTCTTTTGTATAAAGTACTCAGAATTAACTCTGAATATAAAATATATGTGATAGAGTGATTTCTCTACTCCAGCTCCTGGACCAGAAACCAAACAGTGAGTCATCAAGGGAGGGAAGAAAGTCATGGCTTGTTTCACGTATGAATGAGGGGCTGTGTGTGCCTGGGTGTCCATTCAACTGTTTGTGTGTGTGCTTTTATTTGCTGTATGTATGTGCTTCGCAGTATGAGGGTGTGTGAATGCGCTTCTGTACTGTGCGACGCAAGAAATACTCACTTGATGTGCTCCTGGAGATCAGTGAACCATGTAATTTCATCAGTGCTTAGTAACATGTTTTTCACCCTGGTATGTGACAGCCAATAGTTATATTTACCACACAACATTGCATAAAAACATGTAAATATGCTGCCACTATAATTGACCAAAATTATAACATTGATGTAGTTTAGTGTTTTCACAGGTGAATGTTTACTTTTCCTGTTACACTAATATTACTTATATTTCTACTTGCTTTGAAATATAACGGAGGATTTGTACTTGCATCTTAACCTGCTATATATTGTGACCCATAGAGTTTAGCCTTGGCCTCTGCAATGTCAGAGAAGTGTCAGAAGATGCCACAGCAGATTAGGTTGATAGAAATTTAAAAATACCTGAGTAAACAAATGTGAACTAGAAGGCAAGGCAGACATTTGCATTTCAGGTAGACCACTGAATATAACTGGGAGAGTATTAGCAGGTAGATGTGAAACTAAATGATGACATTCATATCACTGAGTCATTAGACTACTGGCAAAGTACCAGATAATTAAGTACCTAGGAAAGTAATAGGTATAATGTTTCCAAGAGGAGGGAAATTAAGTAGAGAAAAGCCAGTAAAATCTTTTAAACTGTAGAGGCAAACTAACATCTAATGTAGTTGCACTGTATGTTTTGTGGTCCACTGCATTATGTCTCAGCAAACAATCATTCAATCAATGAGGAGCCACTCTTCTCACAAAGTTAGAATAAAACTCATTCGATACCAGTAACTATACAGTTAGCATTATACACACACAAGCAGTACCCTTCATTTCTACCCCAACCCCTGTGCTCCATATACGAGTGAGGTACACAATATCCTTTGTATTGATATACCGCTACGCATTAAAAGACGGGATTTGACAGCATATCAGTGGAGTATTTCTAGATAATAGAATGAAACAAGTGTGGTTTCAGGTTGCAGTAAAAAGAAACTACAGTCACTAAAAAGCAAACCATCTCGCTGTAAATACACCACCCTGTTGTCAGTTTAATAGTAATAGTGTGTGTTTTATATCAGCTGAGAAGTGTGCTGGTACACTGGGCTAAGAGCTCTCCTTGATCTACACAGCTCTATACAAGTGACAAATCTGTCAAACCTTTCGGGCAATGTTTGACTATTCCTGTAGGCTTTCTTGTTCACAGACGGAAGGAAAGATGGAAAATTCTTACATAGATGTATGTTGATTAATCTTGGCAAAGATGAGAGTGATGTAAATGACATGATTAATACAACATTGGGCTTTATAAAATGATTGCTTCAGTGAATACGAGTTCAGTAGATCCAGCTTAGTGAGACTATTACACATACGTAAGCACGTGTCAGAGATGAACAGATGTCTGTACATTATAAACCATGGGTTCCTAACTGCGCCACATGCCTACCTTGTTCTTGTTGTTTGCTGGCAGCAGCAGCTTTCTGGCCTGGTGAGTAGAAGGCAGAGAGGACACTGAGGGAGCTGACCAGCTGGCTTTGAATAGAGCTCATTTTGGAAGGACCAGGTTTCCCCGCTGCCTTCCCTGTTGTTGCTGCAGGGACTGATTTCCCTGCCATCTTGGCTGTTGCTCCTTTCCCTGCCTCTGCCTTTTTCCCTGCCACCTGTTTTTGTGTGCTGGGGCTCTCCTGCTGGCTGGCTGTCTGTTGAGCTCCAGAGCTGCTCCCCAGCTGTGCCCACTGCTCCCCCAGAAGCCCTGTTATCCGGGTTACGACTTGACCCAAAGCTGCAGGAGAGGTTGGTGATTCACCAGAGCCTCTGCGAGGAGGTTGAGTCTCACCAGTGTCTCGACGAGAGGCCTGGGCCTCACTTGAAGCACGACGCTGGGCTGTTTCACTAGAGCCTTTGTGCAGGGACTGTGTCTCAGTGGTATTTTTGTGAGGGGGTTGTGTCTCACTGGAACTTCTACGAGAGCCTTTAGACTGAGGTTGGACAATAGTTGATGTGTGGCGAGTTGGGCGGGTCTGGCCTTGTGATGCACTCGATCCTCTTTGTGGTGCTTTAAGCTCTTTTAAGTCCCGTCGAGTTGCAGACATTAGAGACTGGGCTTGAATTGTTTTGGGACGTGTCTGGGCTTCACTGGCACCTGGAGATGGGCCCTGAGATTGTGATTGAGGTTTTTCCTCACTGAACTCCCCAGAACGTCTCTTTGCTTGGGTATTGTCTTCAACCTGAGACACACATGGGGCTTCAGTTTTTGCCTGTGGTTTAGAGAGCTGTGTTATAGATTGAGGGGCCTTCTCTGCTTGCACCTGGGGCTGGGGCTTTGTCGGGGGCTGCTGGGCTTGAGGTTCACTGGATCCTCTACGAGGACGCACAGGTGCAGTCTGATGTTGAGACGGCAATGGTTGTCCCTCTGCTGAGGGCTTCCGGCCTCTCTGAGGTCTTACAGGACCTGCTGTCTTCACAGCTTCCTTCTCTGATACTATTGTATCAGTGACCACAGTTTTTTTGATTGTCGCACAGACAACCTCACCCTCTGCTGGTTGATTTGTTTCTACAGTCTCCAGGGCAACCGGCTTTGTTTCAACAACTTCTGTTACTACACTTTTTGAGATTATAATTTCTTTTGTTTCTGTATCATTCTGTTCAGTACTTGCTTCAATCATAGATTCTTTTTCTCCCGTTGCAGTACGTGGACCGGTACGCTCTTCATTCTGGATTACAGTCTCTGAAACAATTTGTTCAACTACACTTTCTGCAGCTGAACTCTCTGTGACAACTGTCATGGCCGCTCTTTCACTATGTCTTTTAATTCTTTCATTTTCTTCCTTGTCTTCAATTCTTTCCCTGGCTACAGTGTCAACATCTTCTAAACTTTCTCTCACATGAGTCTGTGCTTCTGTATCTGTGGCTGGATTGTTTTCCTGTCTCTCTATCTCTGTCTCCGTCTGCTGATCTGCCCTTTGTGCTACCTCTGTCTCTGTCACCCTGTCCACTGTGTCCACCCTCTCTGTCTCTGTCCCTCGTTCTACACTGTTGGCCCTCGGTCTCTGAGAATAGTCCATCACTGTCTTGTCTTCCGTTTCCGTGACTTGGTTTACCCTTTCAGTCACTGGTGTCTCAGTAGTCTGATCCTGAGTAGCAATCCTCTCAGTCACTGTTCCCCGTTCCATGCTGTCAGCTCTGGGTCTTGGTGGGCTCACTGCAGCTACTTCCTCCTGCATCTCTGTCACTTGATCATAAGTGTCAACTTTAGTCTCTGTTCCTTGACCTATACTTCCAGTTCTTGGTTTGGGTACACATACTTCAACACAGATTCTGTCTGTATCTGTCCCTTGATCTACCGTACCAGGTGATTCTGTCTCTGTCTCTCGGTTGGCAAAATCTACTTTCTCTGTCTCTGTCCCAGTATCAATGCTCTCCCTTCTTGATCTGTCATGTGCTTCTGTTGTACAAACCTCAACTCTTATTCCCTCACTCAGCTGTAGTAATTTCTCCTCTTTAACCTTGTTCTCTTCTATTTGTTCTCTCAAAAGTGTATTAGTTCTTTCCAGCTCTTGGCTAGCTTGAGTAAGTTTAGACTCCAGTGTCATTAGCTTCTCTTGCAGAATCTGCACCACAGCTGGACGCTCAGATTTTCCTCCTTTTGCTGCATTTTCAATACTGCTAGTTTCTGCCTCTTTTACAGCCACGCTAAGACAGAGTAATTCCTGTCCTGCAATGTCCGATGATAGGTTTTGCACTGCAGGCTCCATTGGACTCTCTGTCTCTTTTTGTGTGACTGATTTCTCTGACTGCTGTGTTTGTCTCTCCAGTTCTTGTCCTGAAAACCCAGTCTTTTCTCCATGTACTGAGGTACTCTCTCTGTCGTTTTGTAACACACTGCTTTTCTCTGTCACACCTGGTTTCTCTTCCCCTGTTGGCATTGCTGATACACACTGTGAAGCTTCTAAACCAGTAGTTTGAGTCATCAGAATTAAGTTGCCCTCTTCTGAAGGTCTGTGTTCTGGTCGCTGAGTATTTGTCCCAGCTTCAAACTCTGGGGTTATTGTAGACGGTGATGTGGAAACCTGTGCTTGGGCCTGGGCTTGGAGCTGGAGCAATAGCTTCTCTCTTTCCTCCCTCAAGGAGGAGATTTGAGCTTTTAGTTCTGGAATGGTTTTCACCTGCTCTTCCAGCTCTCTGACACGCTTCAATGCCACTGTGATCTGCTGGTGAAGCCCTGTTCGATCCTGGGGAACACACCGTCGTTCTATTATGTCTGGTGAAGCACGGAACATGTTCTCTGTTGAGCCGTTCTCCGGTGTTCCCACAGTACGGTCTGGACTGCTTGAATCAGAACCTTTCCGCTGCTGTAGGGTGATTGGCATGCTTGATGCTCGGAGTAGGTTTGGCCGACTTTGAATCCCCACAGTTTTTGCTTCAACTCCCCGGGGTCCTGCATTTATTTCATCCCTGGGCTTAGCTGAAACATAGCCAGCTCCTTGACTGCTTGTCCCCCTGCTGCTCTGACTGGAAGTTCCTCCTTCACTTGATCTGAATTCAAAGACGTGTTGGACCTCTGACACTCGTGATTTAGGTTTGGGCCCCAAGGTGGATGTCCCAGACCATGTGGTATCCTTTTCCTTAGGGGCAGACTTGGCTCCATGCCCAGGGAGGCTGAAATTTCTGGGAAGAGTGCTGAACTTGCCTGGGCCCTTGACCCTGCGCTGGATGTGGACCCTTTTGATGGTGTTGCCTTTTTCAATATCATCAACATATTTGAGGAAGTCCAGGTCCAGGTGGAAGCCGTAGGGAGTCTCCACTGAGTAGGGCAGCTGCTTCCTCTGAACACCACCCTCACTGGCCTTGGTCTGAAAGCCATTGGCTGTAAGGAGTTAATGTGAAAATCAATCAACCAACCAATCAAAGCTCCTCCTCCTCTTCCTACACTGAAAAATAACAACAATCATATTAATAGCTTAAGTTATGCAACTAAAATGCATTTGCATGTTTAATTGCTTGACAGATGAACTAACCAAATCGTAGATCATCATCACCATTATTATTCCTGTTCACCCACTTGCACAGGCCGTACTGTGCTGCACACATGGTGCCTCATAATGTAAAACCATATCACTTACTGAGAAGTAATTATCATGCAGTGATTGCACCAAAGCAAACTAATCAGCATGCAAAATGCTGCTCGTGCTGTGTCAACTTATGAATACAGAATGAAATAGGGGGTGGTTATAACCTGAAGGAAATAAATCCTTAGCTGCTTTGCCCACATATACGAAATCAAATACTGTATGTAACCCTTTATGCTAGATAATGAGTAAAGAACAAAAATGCCATTAGTTGGTTGTTTTACAGTTAGAAAACTCAGAAAAACATTTGTGGCATAAGTTAAAAACAAGGGGCTTGTTTACTTAAATGAAGGCTTAGTGACACTCACCACTTTTCTTGTCCATCATAGGAGGCGGACTTTTTAGTCATCGACTTGTTTTTGCTACAGTTGGAGCTGGCAGCCTGAGAACAAATGGAGAGAGTGTGAGAGAGCGACAGAGCTATGTGGGAAAGTGAAATATTGAAGTGAATTAATATTTTGCCGTCTACTTTTACAGGGGGAATGACAGATCTGTGAAATCAAATGACAGGACAGCCGTGTTTGGTGGTTGTGGATAAGATGCCAGAAAATGTGCAGCTTGAAACGTACAGTAGAAACTACTTGTTGTTCGAGATTCTATGAACATTTTCACTAATTCAGTAGAGCATCTGATATAAGAAAAACGACTCAATGTAACAAGTGAAATATTTGCTTTTCTGTGGTACAACATGCAACAAATTATATAAAATCATGACTTAGCCTTGGCTAGCCTACCTGGCAGGAAAATATGCTGAATTGAAATGTAGCCTAAGATTTGGCAACATTTCTTTTAGGAAAACTAGACATGAAGGCACAACAAAACACAGCACAGTTATTATGACAAACTGTTAACAGTCCACATAGTTAGACTGAAGTGAGGAAAAGTTCAGCTACTAAACTGAAGACAAAATTATGTTCTAAGAAACAAAAATCTTAAGAGCAGTGAGGGGAAGGCAGTGCCACTGTAGAAAGACCCACAGAGGTGAGCACATTCCATTTGGTGCCACTTTGTATAATTTGCTGCAGTTGGAGGAGCCAAGAAACTGGAGCTGCTTGTTCATTTCTTATACTACACTTACTGTAGAGTAGAGGGAGATGGGGAAATCAGTTCAGCAAAGGGAGCCAAAACCTTTAGTGGGGTAATGGTATATAAAACATCCCATACTGATGATCCAACCCAGGCAGTTCTCCCTGTTTTGAATGAGCTACACAGTTCACATCCATATTAAATGAGCACTTAACCCCTGATAGCCAAATAGGCAAGTGCCTGAAGCTCTAATAAGTGCTGGACTCCAATGTGTTGGGCAGTTTCATAAGTAAATGAGCATTGTCATTATGCACTATACTCAAGGTATTGGAACAGCTACCACAAATTGAGGCGTCTTATTTCTAACACACTGTGAAATGTATTTTATGATAGCCCTAGCTACATGTTACCACAGATGTTCTAAATGATATATTTAAATGCCAACAGTTAAAATAATGCAACAGTGTAAGTCATTTTACTTTAATGGCATTTCCTCTGTCATAAATGATTTCACTTTGTATTTTGATATTATTCTCACCCACAAAGATAAAGGTCTTGTGGGAACACAGTCACGCCGTGATATCAGTGTGCATCTCTGCAGTTCATCTACAAAATGTATGTGATACTTTAAAAATTGTAATACATAAACACTGATAAATTGCTTAGCATTTTCTCTGTAACAGTTGATCATTTTAAAATGACCGTGTGCCAAATATTACCAAAACTGACCCACACACATTATGTAAGACCATTTGCTGTAATCAGTTTTAACAGTAAAACTACACGACATTCTCTGTAAAACTTTTTGATGTTTTAAAACAGAACTTGGCTGATGTACTGTAGTTTTGAGTAAGTACATAGTGCTGGCTAAGGGTAAGCTGTGTGTTGTGCAGTGTTGAGTGGGGGCAAATTGCAAGGCAAGCATTGCATGAGCTGGCAATATAATCAATCAAAATGACAGCCTGTACACCCTGGGACCTAAACAGGAACTGTGACAAGCTCGATTTGGCCGTGGCGCCATCTTCATGGATTAAGCCTTAATAATGAAAAGAATAGGTAACTTGGAGCTTGGATTGTCATCTCTGTTACAGAAGAACAGATATATACACACGCATAAAAACACAAATCTACTGACTGACAGCCACTGCACAGGATTTGACAATGTGTGATTGCTATCATGGCAACCATGCTTCAATCCACTAGCCCTGCGTGTCCCAAGGGAGAGGAGAGCACGGACATTCCTGACTCCTGATGCTTAATAAAACTATAATTGGCTCGCTGTCCTTAAGGATTAATTAGCTGATTTTTGGAGCACAAGAATGCTGCTTGGGTGAAGTACAGACAGACCTAGCTGGCAATTATACACAGTGGGCAGGCATCAAAACCCTCCTTAATTAGACTATTACCAAAACAGAGACCAAAGTAGAGGCAAAGAACAAGGAGGTACAAAACAAGAAGTAACGGAGATAGAGTGAAGTGGATGAGGAGGCTTAAATGTGGAAGGGAGATGTGACAGAAAGGGATGAGCATGACCAAAGTGACAGAAAACGAACTGTAAGGAACTTCTCTCTTGAGAAAGTCTACCTGACCTTCCCTACAGGGCAGATTTTTAAACTTTCCTCTTCCTCTTCCTGCTTGTGTGACTAATAAAGGACTCGGAAGAATTATGTTGCACTTAATGAGCTTCGGCAGGGTTATAAGAATGATTAACATGAATGATGAACCATAATATCAGTCTATAAACATCTATTAGGAATGCACAGGTTTGTGTATGCAGACAGTGTAACAGCAGCATGGTAACTGGTAGAGAACCCAAGCCCTCAGTAACACTGATGAAAAATCCACACTGGATTATAGTCATGACTATGAAAACTCATAAAGGCTGTCTTAGTCCAAAATGATGGTATTAACTCAGGCTACACATGGAAGAAGCAATGGGTGTTTGTGCCAAACACTGTTTGCACCATGTTTATGTGCATGTGCTTGTATTGCTTACACTAGGTAGATTAATATGCTTGAAAAGCAAATGCAGTCCAATATCACATACTGTAAGATCACACATACACATACCCCCTAAAGGACATGCAGCAATCTCTCAACACCAGTCCAATAACCGTGACAGTTGATCGAGAGGCGACGACATCGGCAATGTGAAGCCCGGAAGGTAGATGTAATAAGAGTACAGTAAATAAGCTCATACTGACAGCTAGGGGTTTTCCTATGTCATCTGTACAGAAACCTCAACCACATCATTGTAGTTGTTTTGGAACAGAGACCCAGGGAATCACCTCAACATACGTATGACAGTGGTTTGCAAAAATGTCTAAAACTCACAGCAGGGACAAGTCATACATCACCCAAAGCCAGAGATATGTTTTATAGGTAGTTTTCACAAATATGTGTGATGACATGAAGTCATACTGACTGTCACTGTTTTCAAATTGTACATACATGCACCAGACAAATGCTCACACAGACATAAAATTACTGCTGACCCAAGCTGCCAAGCAGCAGGAAAAGTATTAATTGAATGTCACGGGTCATTACATTGGAGTGTCTGTGTATTGGAGATTGAATTAGTCTGATCCACTGACACAGAGCAGGCTCAGTTGGAAGACAAGCCCACAGGAAATAAGATTGGAGAGCACAAGCATGGAGGCAGGCAAATGGGACGGAGAAAGTGAAAAGGGGGGCAGAGATGGCAGTGGCAGTTATACACACTCGTATCTCATACAAGCAGAGTGACTTCACTGTTGTTTCCCTCTCTTCGAGCTGTCCTCCTTTTCTCTCTCACAATTTATCTCTAAAGAAAGCGCATGAATGCATTATGATCTCTCACACATACTGAAGTACTGTGTGGCAGCTGCAGCTCTAAATGGGGTGTGTTCATCAGCTGAGAAAGCAGCGGGGAGGAACTCCAAATACTGTAGTAGAGGACAGAGAAACAGTCAGGCCAACAGTAACGTACCAGTAAAGTTCCAAGTCCTTATCATAGCCCTGACATGAGACCAGCTATCTCTGTTTACCCTTGTACTACCCTGAGAATGTAGGACTACCCAGCTTAATATGCCAATTCTCAGCCATTCTCAGACAATCACAGGGACTGACATACTGTACATATGAAAAATATAGAATACTTTGGATATATCCCTATTGCAGCACAATCTTGCAGTAGTGCCATTCCAACACTTGTTTTTAACACTATTTTAAAACCATGCTTTTTTTTGTTAGCCACTGTTCACCAAAAGTCTCACTTTAAGTAAATTTAATATGTCAGTATGATAGCTGTCATCAACCGTTGTTGATGAGATTTCATTAAGTCTGACAATAGTTTTTCATTTTGTACTCATCCGTGTCCCATTAGAGACATTCTCTTTGCAATTTTGAGGGACTGCAGCAGCTGACGGTGCAATTAGTTCAATCTAGTGAGCTGCAGGTGTGTTTGGAATTTTTGCATAATGACGTACTGCAGCACAGAGATACTCCAAAGAAGTGAGCTGAGAAAATTCACTGCCAAGACAAGTGGGAACTGGAAGGTTTCTGATTGTTTAACCAGATCGAATGAAAAATGCAGTTATTGTCCAGATCACAAAGAAAGAACTGGGAGGCATTTATCTGATACCTCGGTGCTCGGTCTGTATGTGCTCTGCAGGATCAGATCAATGCCTCTTCTCCACAAGAGCTATTTGAGCACAATCTGGTGTCTATGTATAGTCCGCATTACAGCAGCACTGCAGAAACACATCTGCTGGGCTAATTTGCCTTTAATCTTCTTCACTCCACTTTTTTGTCAAGTCCATTCTAGATCCTAGTTCTAATCTAGTATGGTCTAGTCCAGCATGTATTCAGGGCCAGATTGCTCCCTTTGTGCTAAATAGCATCTGACTGCCGATCCCAGAGAGAAAATGAGTGGGAACATCTGACTATGAGCTTCATTAAACGGTGGCAAAAACATCCCACTGGGCTGTAGTGAGCAGGCTACTGCTATAGGTCTGTTCAGTGTGAATTAAGCTTATGGGCTACACTGGATGCTTCATTTGAAAACATATCTCTGAGTGGGACATGAAATTTTAATATACTGTAACTGTAGTAAGCAGATGTTCTCTTCAAAATACAAGAAAGACCTAGGGAAAATTCTAAAAAGCTATTTCCCTCCAATGTTTGGCTGATTATCAGTTGCTTGTAGATCCAAAGGAGACAAAAACACTGCCTTATTTTAGTATACATAAAAAGTCTGACTGTTTAACGTAAACTGTTCTTTCTGAGCTTGGGACAAACAATAGCAACTCATGCTTGTACAGAAAAAAAACAAGGAAACTAAAAGGCACAAACTTGTGGCTTCATGTCCATCTTTCCATTGTTCCTCTGCTGTAAGGAAATTAGTTGTAATAACCTCACACAATAGAGAGCCCAAGCATTCCACTCACATTCATAAAGTTCACCGAGAACACACAGGATGCATGTGGAGGGTGACCTCAAGAGTGGCTTTTTGTCCAACTTGGAAAGATCTGACGGATAGGCTGAAAGAAATGAAAACCTAACACCTGTAATACACCTGATCCCATGAATTCAGTTCAGAAACCCACCAATGACTTCTCTGACTACATGTAAATGAGAGAGAAATGGCCCATGAAGAATAGCATGCTGTTCTGTACCCAGATGTTCAGTTTGCCAAAACCTGTTAGATTTCACATTCTACCAAAAAGAACGTGCAAAGTGGAACGTTGTAAAAGACAAACCTGTGGCAGTCTGCATGATATAAATGTTGTAATCTGCCTAAGGAGAGCCAAAGATTTACAGCCCAGCGGATGTGCAGCCTGTCCACTGATCTATACATATTTGTATTTGTTTAACCAGGGAATTCCACTGAGGTTAGAAGCCTAGTATAAAAATAACCATGTAAACATCCAGTGACTGTGTCATATCCCTTTTGGAGTATATCCAGCCATTTATTTGGACCATTGGCAATAACTGAAATATGTTGGACCATGTTCACAAAAAGCTTTTTACATGTCACCAGCAGAATCACTTGAGGGCTTGTGGTTGTTCTATGGAAAGAACTTTGATGCTAAACCTTTCAGCAAGGCTACATTAGGTAATGAACTTTACTCAGATTTACACCACACTGCTGTTCTCAAAGTATAAATTATATTTTGGTGATGGAAAACTGTGTAGATGCTAGTCCAAAAAAAACAAAAAGGTGAGGGGGATGCCATTTCAACTTTATCTGCATTAGTGTAGACTTGACATTAGTGTTACAGCACGTTGTTGATTCAACGTTGTCTGTCAAAGAATGGATAACCTTTATGCCCAGGCCTTCCATGCAACTGTTTGTGCGATAGACTGATGAAGCATCTCTTTATCCTTCATACGTAGAATAAAAGCTGCTCTACTTGCACACTATCATAATATTCCAGCACGAGAAGCAGCTGCCTGCTTTCATTAGCAATAAAGGAAGTGACACTCCATCTATTATTCATTGGAGCCACAGCTACGTTAGCATTATAGCTACTCTTCCGCTCATGGAAGTAAATTAGGGTGGTGTAATTGCTACCACTAATTAGCATGTGGGCTCTCTGACAATTCCTATGTCAATAGTCACAGATGTTAAAGAGGCTGAAAAGGGAGAGAAACAAGGGAAAAGGGTAATAAATCTGTTAAGTGAGAGAGAGGAACGTATGAATATGTATAAAAAGAGGAGAAATATGAGAGAAGGCAAACAAGGAAGGTGTGCTGAATGTTGCCAGAGAAGAGCAAATCACTTGCAGCCCTGCTATATCTCATTACATTACACTAAAAACAACTTGCACCCTCAATCAGTACACGTACTGTATAAGATAAAGAATACAGTAGGCAAGCTGTGGTGTTAACACACTCAAACAGCGATAAATAAATCTGGGTTCCATTACTAATCAATTACTACTTCCTACTTACAGGAATAAAATAGAACACACACACACATACTTGCATGCAATGAAGAAATTGTAACACATTCTGTTGAACATGAAATAAGACATTTGTGCATGCAAACACGCAGACATGAATGCAAATGTATCCTGGTGATAAAGAGCCTGCCTGACACCAGTGTAAAGCTAGGCCAGCGATGGCGGTGCAGCAAGTCTGCAGATCAGGCATGATCACTGTGAGAAGAAATAAAACTTAATACATTCACACCCTTCTGATCTTAACAAGACGACAGCCTTCCAGCTAAGTTTTCACTTACATGCACAGATAAACACATATACTCGCAGGGGAACACAAATTGGACGTGTGACACTTGCTCACATATCGTCTAGGAAAATAAGAGTTGACTGTCACACTGAGTAGCTCAACGCTCACCTCATTGTACTGCGTGTGTTTGCATGTGCATTGCCTGATTGTCAGCTGCCAAGGCTGTGTGAGTGAGCTGTGTGTGTGCTCCAACATGCTGCAAACAGAAAACCACCATGAGTGCACATGCATATAATAGAATACAGTCCCTCTTTCACACACTTTCTCACACATCCCAGGCAACCACATGTGGCCTCTGTTCTACCCTGCAAAAATACAAAGGTGTGAGAAAAAAGAGAGGTGAGGTGTAGCCTAGCTAAGGAGAGAAGATGAGCAATGTGAGGTAAACAAAATGAAATTATGGCAGAGAGCAAATTATTCCTGGGAGAGAAAAATCATTTAAGAAAAAAAAAAGATGAAATGGCATGAACAAACAACACAAAAATGGGAGGTTGAGTCATAAAAAAGGAGTAAATTCTCCAGAGGCAGTTTGCTTCTCACCTGCCATGCAGCTCCTCTCACTGCGTGTCCTTCCTGTTTGTTTCTGTGAGTGCTGCTGACCCTGGCTCTCTTTTAACCTCAGCAGAGAATGAAACTTAAACACTGAAGGAAAGGAGGGAGAAAGGGTGGGAAAGGGGTGGAGGTGATGACAGATGGCACTGGGGGGCGGAGGGAGAAGAGACGAGATCAGGCTGTGTAGCTTGTCAGACTTTTGGCTCTCTCAGTATGATAGATTCACCAGCCTTCTCACTGCAAATAACTGGCGAAGAAAAAACAAATAACACCCTACAAGATAAATGGGCTCACTGCAGAACACACAGACACACACTAGCACAGTGATCAACCGCAACTGCCTCCCTGCATGTGTTGATAGTGTGTAGCTCTGTGTGTAAAGTTAGGGATTCCCCACGGTGCAGATGAACACGAGAGAGACGTGAAGCAGAGCAGTCCTGTGTGTTGGTGTGTATGCAAACTTTTTGGGTTCATTCATGCATCTGCTGGTGAAAGCATGCATATGCGTTTCTGGGTCATGTGCATGTGTGCGTTTTGTATCTGTTTATTTAGCCAGTGGGCACAAAGCCTGCACTACAGTGCACTCCCACCATGCACTAGTCTATTACTGGAGGACTTTAAGTATCACTGCTATGAAGCCATCCTTGAGTAGGTCAAGCGCCACACTGGATCAAAACTACTTTTAGAAGCAATAAATTGTCCCTGCTGGGGTATCATCTCTGTGAAACTTAAGGAGTAACCCCCCTAGTAAGTTCAGTCAAGCTCAGTAACAGAAAGCAGTCAAATGAGTAAAGCCTGGCTAGCCCAGCTGGCTCTGTGGTGTAAATGAGATAAATAAATAACTGCCTTTAAATAGGCTAACTGCCCAGGCTAATGGGTCCTATCTCTTATCTCACTCCTGCACTAGTCCCTCAGACCATCAGTGTTAATTCCCCTGTTAGCAAGTATGTGGAACACATCCACCCGAAAACAGTTCAGCTGAAAGACCTGAGAACAAGAAGCATTTATATTCATAAAACCCATTCATAAAACACAACCAGCAATTAAACAGATCTCCACAGACAGTCAACACAACAACCAAGGTTGGTGTGTACTTATGGGACATTTAAAGATAAGTAGTTGTTGGAGTGAATATTATATTTGCAAGGGATGTGAGGCAGTCTGGAAGCTGCAACAGTAGGACTATCAGGAGATGATTAGTTCCATCTGACTTTGGTGTACATTTTTACTTTTAATAAAGCACTGTGATAAACAGGTTTCAACTGGGGAAGTAACGGTATAGAACTTCTCCATTATGACAGAACTACAGTTTTACAATTTTGAAATGACAGACCAGCTTTAAACCTATGACAACCTAATATTATTTTAATTTTGCATCCAATATAGGATGTGAGTCTGTTGTCAAGCCAAAAACCTATTCAGCTGCAGCAGTACCAGGCCTCTAAGTAGAACAGAATAATTCTTTGTCCACCTTGGTGGAAATTTGTCTTTGGCTCACCCAGTCACACAAATATCAGGACGGACAAATACAACATCATCAAAAATAAAAATAACATAGTGGAAACAAACATACAGAGCATACAATTATAAGTTACTGTTTACTTGTAGAATTGATAGAAACCGATGGCTCTTGGGATAAACGAGTGCTTAAATATGTTTTTGTTGCCAAAGGTACTCCTATAGTGTCTCCCAGAGTTCACTGGCTCAAACAGACTGTGCAGGGGATGGGAGCTGACTGCCAGGATACTCCTTGCTTTCTTTAAGAACCTTCCACTGTAAAGATTATTTACAATCCATTTGTGTGGATGTTGTCTGATGCCAAAGGGTTCATTTTAATTAAGACAGGACAGAGGAAGGTTTTCAGGTGCACAACGTCAATAACTGAAAAGATGGTTTAGCAAGAAAAGTGAACTTGACTGCTGATCTGCAATTTAATTGTCATAAATCAGAGGAGTTTGACTGGATCCCTTCTCTGGACCGAGGCCCATGTCCAGGTTGTGCTAACCCAGTCAGCTCAGCTCCAAGAAACCACATAGTGCCATCACTACATGGGCATGCAAAATGCAGGACTAGGCGTAATAGTGAAGATGGGACCTTGGTAGACCAACACCTGCATTCTGAAACTTTTACTTTAAAACAAAAGTTTAATTTAGCAGTGCAACAGCCCTGCCTGGTACATACAGTACTGTACAAGGTGTATTGTCATATATTAGCAGTGTCCCCGCTCATGTGTGGGTAAAAACAGACAGTTAAAATAACAACAAGCAGTGTTATGCAAAGTCTGGCACCCCAGGATTCTGCCAATGCATGTGTTTGTATCTGGCTGTAAGTGTGAATGCCTAAAATAGTTTTAACTGGTGTGCTCCATAGCTCACAAACCTGCAGTTCAGCTTGGAGTCGTATGCAGAATGTTTTCACAACTGTGGGAGTTGAAAAGAAACACTCTGCAAAAGCAAGTATTTCTAATATGAAGCAAGTAATTGTATCAAATGATTTGCAGCACTGCAGTCGTAACTCACCATCAGCCTGACTTAAGTATATTTTCCTCCTACAAATTCTTTATCTCACCTCAAATCATTATCACATATTTTGACTTTCCACATATGTTTTTAAAATTATCCCTGGAAGTATCCGTTAATCAATTTTATTATTCTGTGAGGAATATACTCCCACTAATCATTTTAAATGCCTGCTATGTCTCAACATAATTTTGGGTGCTGTTATTACAGTTTTAGAACACTGCCATTGTTATGTGAAGTCTTACAAGTGTATGTACAATAAATAGCTTTTGCTGGGAAAGCTGACGGTTCTGAAACATGAAATCCAACAACAAAGTCTTCTGAAAAACATTTCTGCTCAAAATGAGCCAATTTGAGCCAAATAGGCACAAAAAGCAGTAGAAAATGTAATTAATTCAGAAATGTCAACTAGAGACTGTGGGAGTAGACGAGGAACAGGAGGCAGCAGTGGTAATAGATGTAGCGGTCCCAAGTGGGAACAACATCAGGAAGAAGGAGCATGAGAAGCTGGAGAAGTACCAGGGCCTAAAAGAGGAACAGCACAGGATGTGGAAAGTGAAGGCCTAAGTGGTCCCAGTGGTGCTAGGAGCACTCAAAGTCATGACTCCCAAGCTGGGAGAGTGGCTCCAACAGATCTCAGGAACAAGAGAGTAGTGCAGAGATAGTGTGCAGAACCCTCAGAGCACACAGATACAGATGCACTATATACTGTAGGTATATACTTCTGAATGGTAGTGTATATATGAAGTATACAACATATATTCAAAACATAGCAGTGCAGGACAGTTTGAAAGATGATTTACATTGCTGAATTTTGAAAATGATCTCTCCCTTTCTATTACTGAAGCCATACATCATTGCTTAGATACACACACAGTATCATCCATCTGTTCTTGGAAGAAGAATTCCAACTCCAGACCATATATAGTCTAGACTAACCTTGCACCACTAGCTGATGAGATCATAGCCTGTCAGGTCCAAACACTTTTCTTTTCCATTGTTTTGTTTGCTCATTTCTTCACAAATCACATATACTGTACAGACACAGAGACAAGAATGCTGCTCAAGTTAAAGTGTTGCTGGCAGATGCTGGTCATTTTTTAGCAAGTTTGAGCTCCACAAAGATACAGGTTGACTTAATAGTCCAAGCACTGCCCGAGGAAATTCTTTAAGTGTGACAAATACTTATTAGTTAGATGGCTTAAGATGGAAAAAACAGTAAATCAGGTAATGACGAGGATTTTCCACTTTGATAGTGTGTGTGTATGGACGTGCATGCGCTTAGCTGAGCCGGGGCTGGCAGACATCCTGAGGAAGGCTAGTTGCTGATAAGGCCCCTAGACAGGGAAAAGACTGTTTATACTTTGAAACAGAGGCCCACTGAACTGACCATAGTCCACACCTTACTGCTCAAGTAGAAATGGCCTGAGCCATGGCAAGTGCTGCATGTGCATCTGTGTGACAGAGAACATTTCTGAATAAGTCTTAAGATAGAAGAAATCCATAACTATTCAAGAAAAATGTATGTTCACCTGCCAGAGGGAGGAGTCAAAAACAAATGCCATCTACTTCTGTTATAAAGTCACATGGACACGACACCTTTCCTTGGGAGTTTCTCATTTTACATTTCGCTCTCTACTCTGCATGCAGGTGTAAAAGCAAAGAGGCAATATGAATGAGGAGACCAAAGGCCGCCTTGTTTGCATGCAAGAACAGCAGTTTGGCTGGACAGTGAAACACAAAGACATGACTGTAGTTTTCACATTGCCCCTCTGTATGCCTCTCTTACTACATACACTTTGACATCCCCAGATACCTTCCTTTCTATGTAGTAACAGAACATTTCCCTCTTTTGTCCTGTCATTTCAGACTCTCATCTGAACCTCAGAAGAGTCACTATAACCCACAAACTCTACTAAACATAGCCATGTGTCATTCTAGCTGCCACAGAGAATGTTGTTTTGAAACACAAGCGTCAGTGCCACAGTCAATAATGTGCAGCAGCTCTGGTACTTTTTCACTCTGTGATATGTAAATAAAAGCTAAGCTTTAAAAAAATAAAACCTGCAATATACTGTAGACTCCAACTCTACCTAGACACTTATACAATCATTTGCTTTTGGATCATGTTTAATGTTTAAAGCTTTAAGCTTTAAGACAGAATGTTATGTGGATTTCCATTCATTCTGTGACTATTATTTGAGTCAAAACATAAAAAAACTATCAAATTTATTCTTTGTCGGTTCATAGGAAGATGATTTTGAGCTTGCACGTTTCCATCAGGTAGGAAACGATGCATTTGAAGCTCAATCACGATACTGATTTTAGAAGAAGCACACACCAGTGGCTGATGGCAGGAATGGAATTTCATTGCCTGTCTCCTTTCCTAAATACAATTGGTTCTCTCTTTATCACCCAGTTTCACCCAATCTTACTTCCGTCAGTCTTTCTAAAGTGGTAATCTGGTTTGGAAGAGAAGAAACTTTGTACAATTGCAGAACTGAAGAGATGGAGGCAGAGCTTTATCATTAAGTGTGGGTGAAGCATTGCTATGCAATAAACCTGATTATGGCTGTGGTCTGCTCTCTCCCACAGAGAGCCTCTTCCTGTAGAGCTGAACTCTGCTGACCTGTGGGGGTGAGAGACTACACGGAGTCCAACCTGGACTCTATAATATTGCTAATAATTACTAGCCAACAAACCACAACTATAGAGGGAACATGGAACAAACTAGTGAGGGTTTTTATGTGTATCTTATTTTTATCCTTGTTTTATTGTCTCTATAAAAGCTTGGTGCAGCTCGTATTTCTGCTGTCGTTGGTATATTTCACTGTGTTTATTCCTGACCATGAATCAGCCTTGAAGTAGTGAAGCCTAAACAACACCCAGAACAGAGAGCCAGAGTAGATCAGTAAGGGGGGGAATTGTGTTATGATAGGAATAGGAAGTGGCGGTCGCGTAGAGGAGAGCAAATTTATTAAATCAGAAACTGAAATCTCTTTTAAGCATTTAAAGTGGGTAAAAATGTTTTCAGTTGGTTTACAGAGTGCAGA